GAGAAAAAGACGCTCTTTTGGGCTGAAACAGCCGTTAAGACCGCCCACAAGCCTCTTGGCAGCAAACTTCCAATCCGACATTGAACTCTCTCTAACTATTTGAACTCAGGAATGAACATTCTTCGAATAGTGTCTAACATATCAAGTACAGTAATCATCAGACAACAGTGAGATACAACTAAACTTCTTGCACTTGAGGCAGAGGAGCCGGTTGGAGATGAACCGACGCATGCGTTGGAACCAGACTCCTCCGAATCTGGATGACTACCACCCGGACTGCCTCGCTGTTGGAACTGGGCCATTGCAGCAAGCGCCTGCCATGGATGATGCAATTCCTAAATCTTCGGGCAATAAGAGGGCAATTGAGAACTGTGAGATGCATACCCCCCAGAGTAAAGCATCCAAGAATGATCCGAAAGCACCCAAGAATGATCCGAAGAATGGGGGCCCAGGCATGGTTTCTAAAAGGGGTCTACTGCATATATAGACTGTGTAATCATGTTAATGATGTCTTTGTTACATGGACTCTGGTTGTCAGCTATCCCCAAAAAGGAACTGGAATTCCCCATAGGCAATGAGACGTCAGATAGCGAAGCTGAAGATGATTCTGAAATTGATCCAGAAAGAGATGCCATGGATGACCTTGCAGCGAAACAGCGTAAGAGGGCTGGTTTGCCCGAGCTCCAACTGGACCAACTCCCCAGTTCGATTGCCCAGAAGCTAATGAATCTCATCTGAATTGTTCCCACTTCTGCAGAAATGGTTTTGGTCAGAAATCAATACTATGTCTCAACCTTCGTGGCCCCAACCTATCCCAAGTCATCCATTTCCCAACTCCAAGGACTTGCCTCACCAAACGGGCAAAGAAGTTGCAGGATGGCCTGGACAAATTCAATGATGCCGATGTTTTGACAGAACTTCAAAAACAGAACTTTGGTAGAATGGCCCACTTCAGTTTCAACCATAGTTGTGTCAACTTAGCAGTTGAAGTCTCAAACCAAATTTGGCAGTGTGAATCTTGATCCACATAAGGATGAAAACCAAGATTGAAGATGTCCTTGCCGACGTGAACCAGACGGCAGCCGACGTTGAATGCAAATTCAATGATGGAGTGGTGAATGGCTTCAACAAAGAGCCCATTTCTCAGGAACACATAGGCTTTTTTGATGCCTTTCTGTTGGGTTTTGATGGCGTTGTTTTACACCAAATCATCTTAGTCAGGTCCGAAGAGCGTCTCGCGGTCCTCTACCAAACTGCTAGGGGCAAGCCTGACCCTTGGATTAGGGAACGCAACTGAATTTAGATTTTAAATCCATTTGGTGGTTCCATGTGGACTTAGGGCCGTTGAAGCTTTGAGCCTCGAGGGTCGCATGAGGCTTGGGCCCCTTTTCTCATCATGTCAATGCTCAATCTTCATGTGGCTCCTGCCTCCAACTATCACAAGCTTGTCGGTCAGGTCAGTGGTCCCCAAGATCGACCACAGCAGAAGGAAGCCTGCGCGCAGGAGCAAACGTGCTGATGCTTCTGCTAAGGGCAAAGCCAAGTGCAAAGCCAAGGCAAAAGCTTCGGCTTAGGGAGTAGGAATGTTACGTTTGATGCAGGAAAAATGTGTTCAGTAAAGCTCTGTTTCAGGTGCCCCCTTTGGTTAAAACTATTCAATGTTTGTTTTGTTTACCAGAGCTATTTGGTTAACAGTCTTCCTGCAAGCGTTCATGACTAGGTGCCTGAACCTGGATTCACTACCAGGGCTAGCTTCCTTGGGGCTGGCAGGGAGCAAAGGAAAATAAACAAACATTGTTCGCACTCTCAAACAATGCTGCTTTTTGAAACAGGACTTGTGGATCACTATGATCTCCATTTGCCTTGCCTTTTTGGGGCCCACCCGTTTTCATAGAAGCGGGTGTGACAATCCATACCGCCCTTCCCAATTTCGGTGAAGGTGGGTTCCATCGGGTGAACCTTGTGGTAACACAGGGATGATGGGAAAGCAGCCGAACCAGCGGAAAATGTTTTTAGCACTGGAGCTGTGGTTGGATGCGGTAAACCCAATCATAGACCTGAAGAATCTGAACCTAATAATAGGCCATATTTGTTTCAAGTAGTGGTGCCCCAAAGAGCATACTAACATGTTTGCTTCATTATTGGGTTTACTGCAGCAATGGCTGCCTACAACCACAAATCCCGGAATCATCAAACCCAATCCATTTTTTGGTGGTAAACCACATAGCACTACCTCAGTGACTCAGATTTTAAATCAATTTTGTTCTTCTTGTCTGAAATGCTTACCGCTTTTTAATGGGTCTACTGCAACCTCTTCATGTGACAAGTTTGGTTACCACATGTCCTTGGTTAGTCAACGTTCCTTCCCCACAAGCCTAGAAATCAAATCAAATTTGTTCCGCCATTCCACTTTGAGAATACTACCACGAATTTCTACCCGTTGGCCAGGTCCAAAGGAAATCACAATTGACGAAACTGACGTGACGGCCCTTGCCAATGCTGTGGCAGAAGGTGTCCTTGACTTAGATACAACTGAAGAATCACACTGGCTATGGATATTTTTCCACAAGACCATTCCTACAAGTCCCAGCCAAGAGTTATGCATGACTTATTGGAACCCCTTTTATTGTTTTTGTCATGCACCGATTGCCCATGCTCCGGCCTCAGGTCCCAACAACGCATGCACAGGCCATACGCCTGAACAAGGATGACTCAGACTCTTCATGGAAGAAGAACTGTTCTCGGGCAACTTGGGCCCTTCTCCGCAAGAAAGGGTATGGTTGGAACGTGCCTCTATCAACCTTTGATTTCATTACAAGTGATGGGGTGCATCTTCCAATTACATACATCAAACCATCAGATCTGGTTCGGTACTTGATGACCCACCATCCAAGCGTCTTGGTGGGAGGTTTGCAATCAGAGACTGACAGGGCAGTTCACCTTGAAGCCTTTTGGGAAGCATTTCGTTTAGCCCATGGTGATCACCAGGTGTACACAGAACACCCCAATTCCCTGTGCAACTGCTTGCCTCTTGCATGGCACGGAGACGAGGGCAGGGGCAAACGCAGGGGCAACACTGTGGTAGTTAGCTGTGAAACTCCCTTTTCTGTGATGACTTCGCTGAATAAAAAGAAGCGTCGACTTGGAGAAACAGGCTGTCGTTGTGACCCACCGGCTACTTCAAAAGCTAGGTATTCACATGTGCAAAGGAAGTTATCGGCAAAGCACAAAGCTGCTTTGGACATGCAAATGACAACGATGAAAGGGCATACGCTACTTCATCATTTTCCATTGTTTATTGTCCCTTCTGCAATTCACCATGCCCACCCTGAAGCCACAACGGAGCTTCTGAAAATCATCGCCAGCGATTTGCGAATGCTATTTTTTGATGGGCTGGATATTGGAGGGAAAAACTACATTGTTGCTATCATCGGTGCAAAAGGAGACCTGAAATGGTTCAAGAAGATTGCCCTGGAAAGATCTTGGGAAAACCAAGGGGTTGTTCGCAATATTGCTTGCTGTCACCAGTGTGGGGCAGGGGCCGATGGGATTCCATTCGAAGACCTCACTACACGGGTGCCAGTTTGGGCAGCAACACGCTTCTCATCAAGACCATGGACCACTCCACCTGTTATGGACCCTGTGCCGTATTGCAGAGCTGCACCAGAAAAGCAGTACAAAAGTGATCCTTTCCACTTGACGAAAGTTGGGATTTACAGAGACTTGGCTGGGTCATCTTTGTGCCTATTAGTTTCCAAAGGGTACTACGGCGCACAGGGTGATGTGAACCAGAAGCTCTCGAACGCTCATGGAGCATTTACCTTGTATTGCCAAACATTTGGAAAATCTCCTGCCTTGCGAACTTTTTCAAGGTTCCTGATGATGTACCCTCGGCTGGATTCTTACCCTTGGGCCAATGTGAAGGGGTCCGATTGCATGATTCTTCTGAGCTTTTTAATAGTGCAAGCTGCAGGCTTTGAACGAGCACCTCAAGACCCATCGCACATCCCATGGCTACGGACAATGCAATTGACATGCCAGGCTGCCAAGCAAGTTTTTGTTTGCCTCAACCAGCACAACCTTTGGCTACAGCCTTTTTGCGCTATGGCTCTTCATGCAGACATTTGCAGATTTGTAAAAGGATATGTCCAGTTAGCTTCGATATGTCTCAACGACTCCTTCAACGGGTATGCCATCAAACCAAAGTTACACTTGGTCAAACACGAAGAGATGGAATATGACGAAGCGTTGCAAAGGGGGGACGAAATTATCATCAATTGGAATCTTTGGAATTGTGAGTCCAACGAGGACATGATGGGAAAAGTCTGCCGTCTATCCCGACGGTTAGATTCCAGAAGAATTGGAGAAAGGGTCCTTGGAGCTTGCTTACTGAAGTCTGGGACTTTGCATAGAAGATTTCTTCAAACTGGTCGACTTTGACCCAATCTATTGATGCGACATTGCTCGGGGAAAGGAAAAGGGAGGGCAAGTGTGAGACAAGGAGGGATAGAAACAGGGAACTAAACCTGCCAACCAATATCTTCAATCTTTGGTCCCATGAAGAGCACTAAGCAAAACAGTGATTCCAAAGGATCCAAGAACGTGTGTTAATGATACCTGGGTTCAACGATGGGCCCCTAGTTGCACATGAAACGGCAATAAATTTCAGATCGAGCAATGTTTTCTGGAAACAGCAATAATTACTTGAGTTTCACCAAGCGGCAATAATTTTACATAGGGAGAGGTTCTAGGTATATGTAATAGGTTTTGACCCATACCCACCTAGTGAACAGGAATGGGAATATGACGACAATGGCATCCAGCCTAGCTGGCTTGGAAATCCAACGTTTTAAGTGGGAGAACACGGGACATTTATCTGTAAATGGGTGATTTGCAACAAGTTGAACAATTGTGAGAGGGCACCATCAGGGCCTCAGATTGCAACACAACTGTTGGATTGTTTCATCCCCATATCGGCCTGCGTCGTCCCAAACGCCAAGGATGGGCCCTCACATCGTGCGAAACGAAGGCCCTTTGGGTCTCTTCAAAGGTGTCGATGCCTCCATGGCCCGGCAGTTGGTCTATAGCGGTGTCTCCTGGCATGAGATATTATGGGATCATGAGGGGCCAATGGTTGCTTGAAACTATAGTGATTGTGGTGATCATGCTATGATGATCAAATGGAGCCAATTGTCTTGGCCATACCTGGCATGGCTAAGGTCAGATTTGGCATGTACGACATGCTAAAGGCCGAGCCAGTAGGGGGTTCCAACAAAAAACGCAGGTTGCAGCACATGGTAGACACAGGTGGTTTGGACATATCCACAGAGGTTTTTGGTAGGGATTGGTATAGGGGGCACCATAAATCACCACAACCTTGAGGGCATTGTTTCCCGGCCAGGGCTTCTGTGGAGAATCTCAGCGTCCACTCACTACCATTGAGAAGGCATGCGCCGAAGCATCAAATGATGGCTGCTGGTTGCTGGTAGTCCCATCCCATGCTTGAATAGGGCATCCAGTGCTTGAAAGCATGCCAAATATATTTAAGAATTGAATAGATCATACTGTAATTGGATCCACTAATTTACTGACAGGCCGGGGGTTCGAACATTAATCAATGGGAATTTCAGGATCCTAAAATAGAGGTACTGTACTGGTTGTACCACATAAAGCCATATTTTGAAGCCTTACATATGCCTTATATATACTGGATATATATATATATGGTAGGTACCTCCAGTTTAGTTGAATTAAGGGAAAAGGATTTATCATGCTTATCAATATTTTGAGGTTCGGGTTGATCCCAGAGTGGAAAGACTCACAAGACTCATCATGAGTCATTGATATGGGGCCCTGCAAAGTAATGTAATTTCAGATTATCCAACATCATCGAACATCATCCGAATTGAATGAGTTGGTGCACCAAGCCTTTGGTCAACAAGACAAGCACCGGGAAACATGGTCCTTTTTCTCGATGATTTTCCTAGTACGAGATGGGGGGTTCCTTAGGGGTTTCCCAGGATTTGTTTAAAAGTGGTGCGCCATTTATCGACTCTCGATTAGCAGTTTTGCAGATATACCCCACCTTAAACCATACAAAGCCAGAAGTTAAGCCACATTCAACCATATCAGATTTCACATTATTAGACCATATACCCCGGGGTTTCCACATCGTTAGTTTAAAGGATCCCCGAAACTAACATAGATGTGGAATGACGTGGAAAGCATCCCATATCATCCCATCCACATAAATCTTTCTATGTCTATATTAGAAATCATTATATATATATATATATACCATATTAATCATTAGAAATATAATTATATATATATATACACATTACCATATTACCGTGGTGGATGGTCTATAATGGTCTATATATCTATATTATAATTATTATATGATCTACAATCATCCCAAGTCTCCGCCCGAAGATCCACAGGTGCTTTGCGCCGCCGCAGCCGGCGCCACTGGCGCCTTCGCCGGGAACCCGGGCGACTTGGCGATGGTACGCATGCAGGCGCCGTGTCTCCAAAAATTGGATGTGGCTCATAGATTTGTTTTTATAATATATATGGCTTTATCAATCAAAGTCAATGTCTACAGAAAATCTATAGAAATCATATAGTTTTTTTTTGTTTCTCTATAGATTTGGATGCAAATGGTGGATGTTTTTATATTATAGTCGTTCCTATGGATTTTTGAAAGGCAAATGATGGGTTTCCATAGATTTTCATAGGTAAACGATGCATGATTTTGAAATGGCACAACTTGTCATTTTACTCTGTGCCCTAATTCAGGCGCCGCTGAAAGCACTTTTAAAAGTTGGGGATACACCGATGATTCCCCTAGCAAAGGGCTACAGCCAGGCGGACGGAAAGCTTCCACCCGAGCAGCGTCAGTCACCCAGAGTATAGCAGTGTGAGCATCGCAGCAGAAATATCACGGAACTTGAGATGTCCAATTTGCCAATGGAAAGTTGTGGATACCTCATTTTTCCAGAGTTTTTGTGGAGTTTTGCATAGGCTGTTCTGTCTGGCCTGGCGTGTGTCATGAGATGATTACCTGAAGGTCGTGGATACAGGAACATCTTTGATGCCGTGCCGACCTCGGATTCATCAGATCAAAGGCAGACAGGGTCTGATTTGTTCAAAACATTTCAAAACATAATGAGGAATGAGGTATGCATCCTGGGCATAACCCACTATCGACATCAATAAACTATAGTAACGATAGACATTGTGTCAATGAAATTTCCATTCGTTTCACAACCCACTACTATCATTGCTGTCCATCTATACCGAGGTGGGCAAGATTGCTCGACAAGAAGGTGTGCTGTCCATGTGGCGAACAGGTGTTGTTCCCAACATGAACCGAGTTCCTGGGATGCACAGCGATATCCTCACAGTGTTTCGAATGTTGAGGGTTGGTCATTCTGTGGCCGTCCCCCTGTGTTTTGTGATCTTCCTCATGGTGAAATCATTAGCTAAATCCGAAGTCTGTTGCATGTTGTACCTAAAATACTAAACTAAACTACTAAACCTCAATCATTCAAAATCCCAGAGGAGGAGTGTTGCTTCCCCAACAGGTAAGTTGAATGTTATTCCGTGTTATTTCCAACACGGCAATGACATCACCGTGGCTGAGGCCACGATTATCACAGTTGGGCAACTCGCGGCCTATGATACCTGCAAAGAGCTTTTCGTAGTGCCATGGTTCAGAACTGGGGATACATGGGGATACTCCAACATAAGGTGAATATCAACAAGACTTGTGGGGGTGGATGGGTGGTTCTCGATTTCAAATCTTGTTCCGTTTCTTTCCTATGATCCTTTGATTATGATCTCGAAAAATCATTCGTCTTTGAGATGGACAGATCTCTCCAACCAAACCTCTGACGAACACGTCCGTAAGATTCCGGAGTTGTTCGTAAGTAGATGTAAGTAGTCACGAACTGTCACAAAGTTGTGCGACAAGACAGACCTATATTTCCCATCATTTACCTTTCAAGAGTTGATGCGCATGCTTATTTTTGACATTCACTACCTACTCTCTGGTAAGTCAACATGGCAATGGAACACTACCATTTTTAACATGTAAATCTGTAAATAATCTTACATCCATCTATAAATGGGTCGTTTACCAGATGGTATACAATGGTATACACACATCTGTGATGCTCAGGATTACCTGGGCATGAAGGAGGGTGTCCGAAGCCCAGCTCCAACGGGTTCCAGCCATGTCTAGTCTGACAGGAAATTTGGGTTGGGGGTTGATTGGATCATAGTGGATTCTTGGATAATGATCACTCATATTCCAATCACTAATCCAAGAATCAGTGATGCGGGACTTTTCCCAAATATTCCATTTGGGACTGTTCTTCTATGATCGGGGGGATCGGATTAGTCATGATTAGTCTTCATATCCGTGATATCGGTGAGCTTGGACGTGGGCAGCAGCTCCAAATCGAGACCCCAAAACGAACAGGCCCAACGGCCCAAGCCCCAAAATTGTTTGGGGGGGCCATCGGGGGAAGAGATGGATGTTGGCGGACCGGGATGTGCTCCGGGTCTGCCAAGTGATCATCCAGGTGATGCATTGATAGAAGCTATTATTGGTGGTATCCCCCAGAAGATGCAGAACAGATGATGATATCCCCACCCCACGTTCACGTTAAACACCCCCATTCTATGATCCCGAACGTGCGATTTCATCCCTATATCCGCGATGGTTTCGTTTGGGGTGTTAAATATATGAACGGGGGACGGGGATGGATGATTTTACCATCTTTTTTTTTCCGCATGGAAACTGGCCCATTGATAGATTTATGATGATTTATCTCATTCAAATGGTCATTTTCCATAGCTAAGCTAAATCACCATAGGCTCTCCCTGAATTTTCGACTCGGAGGTGACCAGCTTCAGCACCTTAAACCATGGGGGTTGCCATGGTTTCCTCAGGTACAGCTGCATTTGTCCTCCAGCTTTGGCGCTGCATTTATTGCCTCAGTGCCTGGGAATGTAAGAGCGGGGTGATTCAGAAATACTGTGGGGAACTGACACCATAGTGGGTCTGTCATGGGTATATTGGAGATATTTGGGAATGAAGTTGTTGGGGAATGTTGGGGATAATTTGGAGATTTATTGGGGATGTGAGGGGAATATTTTAGGATTTTTTTGGGATATTATGATAATCATGATGGTCACATCTGGTCACATCGTCTCAAGCTATGGAAGAGGGGCTGCAGGCTCTCCAAAACCACTCACCTTATTCCAGAGGCGATGATCAGCCCGTGAATTGCAATGATTCAGCCAGGTATATGAATATGAAATAATATGAATATGAATCTGGGTATGAAAGTGAATGTGAATTTGAATGTGATGCTGATGATGCTGATGATGCTGATACTGATGCTGGTGATGATGATGATGATGATGATGATGCTGATGCTGATGATGATGATGATGATGATGATGCTGATGCTAGAAATGGATTCCACGCATATCAAAAGGAAGACTTACATAGACCGACACATATCTTGCGTGCCTTGGTCAGTGAACTTTCAACCCACAACCGCCATCAACCGCCCGGCCAATAGCCTCAGGTGATGTCTAATCCCGTGGACGTTGCCAAGACGCGTCTCATGAACCAGCGGTCAGAGGAGGGCAAACCCTTGTGACTTGCCAGGAAGTTTGAAGAGAAATCAGACCGATATGTGGAAGGATGATTGGGAAGTGCGCTGGACATTGAACCAAGCAGACACACGGGTACAAATGCGGAATTTGTCAAGAACCACGTGGTATTGAAAAACACTGTATCTATATGTTTGGGTGGAAAGATAGAACTTCAATGTCGTAACAGAAGACGTGTGTTTTGTTCACTCAAATTTGGGGGAACCTCCAAATACATTGCGTGTCCTTTGGTTCCCCCATGGCTCTTTGCGTTTGAAGGAACAGGTTGGTTTTCTCTGCAGAATTAGGTGCCTCTAATCTAAGGCGATGGAGAGAGAGAGGGAGAGAGAGAGAGAAACCAGCAGGGTTATCACGACCCAATTAGATAAATATGTACTCTCTAGCAATCTAAGATAACATAACATCACCTATGGAAAACACCATTTTTAATACTTAATAAGTAAATCATCTACAAACGGGCTACGTTCCATAGTTGTGTTGGATTTATCGGAGGGTAGTCCCCATGTTGAAACACATGCCGAAGTCCGTTGAGGCTCTACAAGAGCACTGTCCAGACCATGACTACCATCGTGCAACAGGCTGCGTGCCAGAAACCGGCGGTGACCGGGTATGACTATTGATAAACCCTAATGACCTAATGGAGAGAGAGTGAGCCCCAAAAAGGTAGGAAAGTAAAGCCCCACTAAAATAGTGATAAATCACGATTCTATTTTTGGGTTGCTATTTGCTATATGCCAGTTATAACAACTGAACCCACCTGCCTAGTAGTGACTGTTTAATTCCAGGATTAAGAAAGCCTTCGGTTCAGGCTGTTCATCAAAATTCGGCGGATACATCCAGATGCTGCAGCTGAAAATGAAAGGCAGACGCCCAAGCCATGAATGACTTTGCGGTGTGCTTCATTAAACACCGTTTGAATCCGCGATTTGTTTATCTATTGCGTTTCTTGGGTGATAGTTTCTTGGATATTTCAAAAGCTGTATCAATTACAGTAAGGCCCGCTTAGAACCCCCCGGGGTACCACAATCACACCACGCGCAGGAAGGGCCTTTGGCGCTCTACAAGGGCTTCGCAGCAACCTTTGCGCGACAGTGCCCTTACGTCGTAATCACCTGGGTCACCGTGGAAAGACTGAAACTTGGCGGATGGCTGGCTTCTCCCTTTGGCGCAAAGGCTAAGTCGTAGCCACCAACATCCACCAACCAACAACCACAGTGGGCCTTGAACTAAGGAAGAAGATCATGAAAGACTGGTGAGTTGGTCCTGGTTTTGATCCTGGACCAGGCGTCCCCAAAAAAATCCAGACGGATGGCCGTGCGGCCGTCCGCCTGTCAATCCAGAAATGTTTTCCAGCCGCATCAAATGCCAAAAAAGGCATGGAATCCCTGAATGTCCTGAGCAACTTGGTTCGGGTGTTTAGCCCCTGAAGCATTCCTCAACCGAAAGGTATGAGGGTATGGGCTTAATCAGCAGTTTCTTTTCCAGGGAGCAGGCTCTCAATGCGCAGAAAAGGGCGCCTGGGATGACGTGGCAGCAAACAGCCTCAATGCCGAGTGACATCCTGGAACATTCAAGTGGTTTATTGTGGTACCCTTTGGTAAACTAACATAGCTATGGGTAAATCCACTATAAATGGCAAATTTCAATAGCTATGTTAGTTTACCAGAGGGTATGTCTGAAAATCGGGTCCTGCAACCCTAAATCCACTGGTTGATCATCATTCAAACATATAGTTTGAATATTTTGAATTGCAAGTTTGGTCGGTCATCATTTTTCTAGATTTTTTCCTATGAAGAAATAGTATTTTTTTAGAGTACGCCCTATTTTCAGACCCACATGGCAGCTGTTTCATCCCAGCTTTGCTGAAGCCGAGGCCAGTGCCACTTTCGTCCGCATTGCTGCCAATGGCCGTCTCCCTGGACGATGTCAGGGCGGGCCAAATGATAGGCAATGATATCAGTGAGATCTTGACTGCCTGGCCTGGCTGTATATATAGTTATTTGTGTATATATAGTTCAAGTTATATAGTTATATATATATATATAATATAATATATATATATATACAGTATATATACAATATAATTACATATAATTATTGTATATATGATTATATAGTTATATATATAATTATATGCATATTATGTACAATAGAGATTTTCAATGATTTGGACCTTCATAGACTATATATATATGCACATGCATTTCAATGACACAACGGGTATAGGTCAAGTTCTTGACACATTGGACCTATCACAGCCCCACCTTTGACCCGCACCAACGTCAGTTGGTTGCCCATGAATCTTCCTTGGATGTGTTTGTAGCACATGCGTGGCAGATTTGAGTGCCATGAACATGACGACCAATAGGTGCCCCTCAGTGGAAAGGCTATTATTATAACGATTTAATATCATATTTCCTTTCATTGTTGAATAGGCCCTATTGAAAAAAAATCCGGATAGATTATCCAAGAATGATGAAAGTAACAGTATGTAACAGCAATAATAGCATTTTTGCTGCCCTAACACCAGGAGTTTCCCCCTCGCGGAAATGAGGTGTTTTTGATGACCAGGCCTTACGCGCTTTGCTGCGACCTCTTCTGCAAGGGCCCAGTGCAGAGGAGCCCCAACAGCACATGTCCTGCTCTGGGAACCGACTATTCAGATAGTATGTATATAATAATATTATGTAATATCAATGAATCTATGTAATATCACTATATTATATAGATTACATGATATTATCTATCTGTATATTCATATAATCTAGTAATACCAATATTCATGTAATATCTATGAATCTATGTGTAGACACATGTCCGACACACATGTCCGACATATGGATATATATATATATATATATATATATGTACACATGCATATATTATATAATAACATTTGTGTGTGTGAGTGTGCGTTTTACTTTCCATCTTAATTTGGAGTGACCAAAACAGCAGTTTGCAAAAAAAACATTGGGCTTATCGGCTCCACCACTTGCTGCGTCTATAATATCATATGCTATAATTCCCAATTGGTTTATATGTGTTTGTCTGTATTTGACCGAACAGTGGGAATTAGGATAGGACATTTGAAAGAATATTATAGAAGTAGTTTTGTCCAGGGAAGCATAGGGGAACCAAGCGGTCAAGCGAGCCGGTCAAGCGAGCCATGTCACAGAGAAACAATGACTGGAACATCCGAGGAGCGTCGAGTTTGCTCGCAAGTGCTGCTGAGTATTTCGGAGGCGAAATGGTGGTCCCTTTTTCTGAAGTTCTGGATGTCGGGTGTCAAAATGACGGTGAAAATAGAGGTTACAAAGAAAAACTAAGTTTTAGGCAACAAGATGGGAAAACCCAGAGAAAAAAAGAACTGTTTGAAAACGCCGAGGTTTTGCCACTTCCAAGTTGGTTTGTTTAGCAGCTGAAGAGTCCTGGATTCTGCAGGTGGAAGAGCATGGGCCTCGCTTAGACCTTCCGGCTCTGATTTGCGGCGTCACATCCGGTGAATCTGCTTTGGAAATACACCTCCAACGGGAATGCTTGGGATGGCACGAACCATTGATTTTCAATATGGGTATGGGTCAATACCTATGAAAATACCATTTTTAGTGGGATGAACATCCATTTACCAGCTATTTTGATGTTCACCAGGGGTACCAGGGTTTTGACCCATCCCCATATAGTTTGCCAATTGAAATCATTGGAGGCACCGCATGTTGAATTTCTCTACGGCGACAGTGAATGCCGTTCTGTTCACGGTTCAAAACGTAGCCAGGTCAAGAGACTTCTGACAAACCACCTACATTCAAGATGGAAGCGCTCCTTTCTATCAACATGTCAGAACATGTCAACAGGAAGCGTCAGTCACATCAGCATAGCACTCATGCCGCATGCCCATAGAAAAGTGAGGCTTCTCCATGTCACTTCGCAGAGGGGATATTTACCCAGAGTTTCCAGAGAGCAGTGGACAGTCACCTGAGTCACCAGGGTACCAAGGTTTTGACCCATTTCTTTTCGGGACGACGAACCCTGAACCCAGTGATGACCGCAAGTGGCCGGAACTGGCAGCGGCCGTGCCAGAGGCAGGCGATGACACCGGGGACTTCCTATTGCCGATTGGACATGACTTATAACTTATTCATGCTTATTCGATGTGGTAATGGAAAATCATCCCGACGATTGAGTGCTGTGATTTTCTTATTTGACGACATTTGAACTATGGCGAGTCTAATCCCGTTGCCTTTGTGCCTGATCTTTCCTGGCATATCTGGCATCAAGCTTTAGCACCGCGCCGCTGGTGGGGAGATGGCGCGGAAGATCTTTGTGGGTTCCCTGCCGCAGAACATCACCGAAGATGAGTTGAGAAAAGAGTTTGAACCCTATGGCGAGGTAGAGGAAGTTTTTATTAAGGACTGCTGCTTGACACAGCTGACACTGAGTATACTGAGTATACTGAGTATACTAAGTATACTGAGTATTATACTGAGTATACTGAGTCTGACCCTTCTCGAGCAGCGTTGGGCTTGAGATGAGCCCATGTCCTGCTTCAGGACCATTGTCCTCCTGGAAAGCAGTGGGTGCAGCGCTCAGGTCCAGTTGACTTTAGCTGATTTTGGAAGTCAATGCACTTGTCATATATCTTGCCATTGGACATCTCCAAGCGGACATTTAAACGGCTTTAAGCAGCGAAAGAACTGAGGCTTTCATCACCTATGCGAGTCCAGAGGATGCTCAGATCGCCAAAGAAGCAACTGATACCAAACTAAAGTTTCCGGGGGCAGAGCGTCCCTGCGATGTGATGCTGGCCAAGAACCAAGGTGGCAGTTGGGCTCTGGCTGCTGGGGGAAATCTGGGGGAAATCTGGGTAGCAACTGGATCTGGTGATATGATGGTGAACCCCCCGCTGAGCGTGAAGGTTTTTGTGGATGTTTAGTGAGCTGGGATGAGCTGGGCATGCTATGATTTCTGATATTTCTGGATATTTCTGGTACATTTATGGCATCTCAGGCCAAATCCCTGCAACTCCTGTCCAGGCATGTCTGGAAGCCCTGGGCCAGCTGGGGCTGCCCCACAGGCGCTAGCGGCAGAGGCCAGACCTGTTCCAAGCTGGGTATGCGTGGTATCTTGACAGCCTTGGCGATATTTTGATATGTTTTGATGATGGCGATGACAATGACAATGACGATGACGATTACGGCGATGGCGATGGCGATGGCGATGATGACGATGAGGAGGACGACGACGATGATGACGACGATGATGACGATGACGATGACGATGAGGATGAGGATGAGGATGAGGATGACGATGAGGATGAGGATGAGGATGATGTTTATGATGATGATGATGATGATGGTGATGGTGATGGTGATGGTGATGGTGATGGTGGTGACGACTGCCCAATCAATTCATGTGTGATGGGAGTCTGAACATGTTTGAAGCACCAACTATTCAGCCATTGACCCAGCTGTTCTGATTGGAGGCTCCGCGGAAAGTCTTTGTGGGCTCCATGCCGGACGGCATTGAGGCTGGGACAACAGCCCCTCAGAACTTGGGTACAGGAAATAGATATGGGAATGGGTCGAATTCACTATTCATCTCATATTTTGGAGGGGATGGACATACCCTTTGGTAAACTAACATAGCTATGGAAAATCACCATTTTCAATGGGAAAATCCACTATAAATGGTCATTTTCAATAGCTATGTTAGTTTACCAGAGGGTACATAAATCATCATAAATCTCAACTCTATTGGACTCAACGGAAGGTATTGGCATGTTTTGACCCATAGCCATATGTCGGGCCACCTGCTTGCCCTCAGCCTGACGCTGAACCCCCGGGAACCCCCGGGATGGCGATGGAGAGAGAGGAGGATCTTAGCAGGATTTCATGGTGATTTCTAGGTTTTTAGTCAAGGGAACCAAGGAACTCCCATGATTTTTTCAAAATCATCCGCAGGCCGAAGTGGTGAGGTCGGCTTTCAGTGTCTATGGCGTTGTGGAGGAGTTTGGGGCGATGGGGTGGGTTTCTCACGATGCCATGGTGGCATACCATGGCATATTTGTTGGTCATATAAGCCTGGGCCTTGCCATCCTCAAATCCCCGTTGCACTTTGGTCGATGACACTGTCGCCACTGCCGCCTTGAAATGCCTTGAATTTGATCACTTCTGTTTCACATATTGGACCATCCATGACCATCCAAAAATCTCCGAAGAAAATCCATCCATAGCCACATGATTCCATAGTCCAGTGGACAAATACACATGGTTCCCTGCAGATTCCACAAATATCTTGAATCCATCCATAGAACACAGGCTAGTTCCCATGGATTATCAGAATTTTAACCATCAGACAAGTGCAATTTGCGGGTAGTTTTGGGCAAACTCATAGTAACTATAGTAGACCGATTAGATCATCCACAAATCAACCCTAAGATTCAACCACCCTAATTCCATCCACAATCCAAGTCATTGTCCTAGTGGATTTAGGTCCTAGATGAAGGGCACATTTGCAAGAAAGCTCCGATATCTGAAGGCAAAGCCCATGGTTTCACGCAGTGGATTCTTCCATCAACTGATCCCATTTGTTGGGAAGTACTGTTCAACCCCAAGAAACTCAAGCCATCCGTTTGTTTGGCCCCCAATGAGTTTGTTGTACCATGTTGTACCTCAACCATCGGTTCCTTTTGTGGTTTTGGAAACACCTGCCCAAGAAATCCAGAATTATGAGCTGATAAATACAGGATTAACTGTCAATCAACGCCACTAACAAGTTATTAATTGAGTTTTTACTGCGTTTATTCAGGCTTTACCAACCGCCAACAACCACTAAGAAGGCCTTACTAACCATCTGTTGCTGCGGCAGGTTCCCGGAATGGGGGATGGTTGAATCCTCCTAGAAAAAATCATTTGTGACCTGATAGATAAATTTGAATGACCACACCCATTAGCTTTTTGTTGATTGATTTTCCCAAAAAATCCATTGCACTCTTACTCAATTTTCGGCTATAAAATTCCACTGGTTTTGTAATCCCTTCCCCAGCATTAAACACGAAACCCAGAAACCAGTGTTTAGCACTTTTTTGGGGATTCACATATATTTGGGACCACAAGCTGGGGTGTTTGATATGAGCTGGGGATGGCATTATTCCATTTTATAATATCTCATTGGTATCACATCAATCTCATTATCAAATATCCCATGAATATATTCCATGAATTCTTAATAGTGATCATCCAAAAATCCACCACCTGAGGATCATTGGATTAGTTTAAGGAACACTTTCAACCAGAAACACCAATAAGAAACACCAATAGGATCATGGGGAAAACCATGGTCCGGTTAAGATTTTCCCTTCAACCAATATCGCCAAAATCTTAATTTCAAATATCATCAAATATCCCATTCACTAATTGAAACTAAGATATCCCGTTCATTTTCCATACATAGTCTAAATGTGATCCAAAAAATCCACCTGATCGACAAACATTCCAAAATATTAATCATCCATATCCAATGAATATTCCATGAATATATCCTAATGTCCCCTATTAATATGGATCATCTATGGATCATCCAACCCCCTCCCCCAAGGGGAATCCAAGGGCCCAACATGGCCCAACTGCAGGAGCTATTCCTGAAGCAGGGCTGCGAGTCCGGACGTCAGTGGGGCTTCGTGACCTTTGCTTCTCCGGAGGAGGCGGCCAACGCTCAGGCGCCGGTGCAGAGATGGGGGAGGGCCTTACAAAAACACCATCACACATGGGGAAAATATGGGAAAATTCTGGGAAAATATGGAAGAGATATGAAAAGATTGGATTTTTGTTGGGGTCTGTCTTCAGAGTAACGCTTCTTTAGCAAGGGAAATCGGGAGTTTGATGGATTTTGATGGAATTTTGGAGCAATAAAACTTGCGGATACTGTATATAAATGTTCGAAAGGCACGGAGACGGAGCTTGGGATTAACCCTTAATTCATTGGAATTTTCAAATCTCCATAGCTACAACACCCTGAGACAACCAATCATAATGGTCAAAAAGTCAAGAAATGAGTTTTGAATTTGGAATGCAAACGCCATTGAATGACGGAGATGATGCCACAGGATTGTGAGGTTTCCGTGAAGAGTGACAGATGGGAGCGTTTTCTGAAAAACACACCAAGGAGCAGACGAATGGAGTCCTGTGCTTTGAAGGTTCGATTCGGCCATGTCAGGCGGGATGCAGATCCCTTCTCGGTTCATGAAACTACGTAACCTCATGTTTTTCTTTATATATATATATGTGTGTGTTTTTTCTTTGAAGTCTCTAATTGAAGTCTTTCCTCGTGTTCGATTTTTTTGTGCTGCATATGTTGAAATGTTTTCACTTTACACCATAAATATAGTATTTATTTAACAATATAAATAAATAAAGAAAGAAAAACATATGAATATTATATATACGTATGTATATTTATTTATATCCATTGATATCCACCATCTTTCCAACCATGTCAGGTGACCCTGGCGCGAAATCAAGGCCTCTATGGCAATGGAAGTTTGAAGCCCAGCCCAATCATCGACAATGGTCCAAAGAAGGCCCTTGGCACCGGTTTTTGGGATATTTTTTGGGGAGTCTAGTGTCTAAATGTGTCTAATATTAGTCTAATATTAAGTTCTAATATTAGTCTAATATCATCTTAGTTTAAAATCTGGAATATATAACTCACACAAATGGTCACACTCTGGCCAAACGGAAATCGTTGAAATAATCAAATGTGGCAGTGAGACACAGAGGCTTTGACAGGTGACGTGATCATGTAAGCAACGAAAAGATGCAGCAAGGGCAAAACAACCGCAATCAGGGCGAAGCATATATGGCCTATTGGTGATCACTGTCGGAACCCCTTTGCTCCGCAACTCTGATAACTCCCCGCTGCAGATTTTTGTGGGCACTCTCCCAGACGACGTTGCTGAGTCCCTTGCCTGCAATGCAAGATTTCCCTGTGCAAGACATGACCATTCAAAGCCAGATTCTTCCACATTCATCCACATTCAGAAATTGATGTCGCAGCAGTTGCATCACTTTTCAGGGACGTCCTGATAGATGAGTTCTCCAAATACGGAGAAGTCAAAGATGTGTTCCTGAAGCCCAACTGTGAGTCTGGCAGGCCTTGGGTGTTGCGCCCCTGCTTGAAACTTCACCTTTTTAGACTTTCTGGTGGTTCAATATTACATTAACTATATTCATTTATATTCATAGTGCTTCAAATCTACAGTTGTGTTGAGTGATGTTGAGTGCAAGGTACACTGCCCTCACCCCATCCAAATGGTGGTGTTTGCAGCCGAAGTGCGATGAATGGATTTACTCATTTTTCAGAGAAAGTCTCCAGGAAAAAAATGGGACAGTGATCCCAATGTTTTTGGTGGCCGTAGAGTTAAAACCACAACACATTGGGAACATCCTCAAGACAAGAAAGAAAAGGACATCTGGAAAATCAACAGCTGGCTTTGGAAAATTCAACAGGAACCCATGGCAAATTTTGGTAACAGAAGTCGAAGCCATTCTCCAGCCACCCCCAAGTGCCAGGCATTGGGGCTTCGTGACCTTTGCCACATCACAGCAAGCCCTGGATGCCAAGGTCATCGTGGTGCAGTCGGGGATTTGCATGCAAAATGCTTGGTTTTTGTCAGCAAACATGACGATTCTACCAAGAAAACTCGGTATTTTAAGGGGAAACATCATGATTTAGTTCGATCCATTGATAGTGATGGAGATAAGTAGTATTGAAGTGAGAATTTAGAGCTAGAACATGCGCCTGAAAGATCTTGGTGGATGGAGGGTTGATCTTCAATCTCTGGAGGGTTGGGAAGACAAATCCGCGACTGGCACCCGGGCCAACTGCAGCTGTCAGGAGAGCTGCGACAGAACTCTGATGCTACCAGGCTGGGTGTCGCTTACCATGTTGCTGGTCCTGACTCCAGCAGGACACTTCATCTTTCCGCCAGTTGTGTCATGTTTTTTCCCCCAAATCAATGACGTCCAAAGGTCAATCTCCTTCCCAATTTTTTGTGGGAAGGACATCCATACTGTACATCCATCACTGGCGCGACAAATGCCATCCAAGACCATCCGTCAGAGACAGCCACGTTTGTTTCTCGAGCTCTGCGGTGAGGCTCGTTGAGGCCTTGCGAGGTCACAATTGCAAAACATCAGGGGTTGTATGGCCAGGATGCCATGGATGATGGGGGAGGCTGGCTGGGGTGGCTTTTGGATGGGGGATTCACTCGGAGTTCACTGATGGGACGGGGCGTTTTCTGCAAGCAGATGGAGACTTTCCCATCATGGGGCTTGCAGATGGTTGGCGGTTAAAACTTCATAGAGTAGATTTTTGCACCAGTGCGACTGGAAGATGGAATGAACCAGAGGAGGTGAAATAGTTTATTTGTTCGGGTTGGGCGCGTAGCGTTTCTTTATGGAAACCAACGGTGCCAAAGATAATTATCCTATGAATTCGTATCACTGGTTCTCTGGTTCACTGAATGTAGCACAGGCAGCATGGTGCCTGCACGCCACAGGTCGACGGCAAGAGCCCGCTCGTGGAAGCCACGGAAGCCATGGAAGCTACAGCCAGGGTGGCAGTTACAGCTCCAACTCCCGAGCCCCAGGCTATGGAGCCACCAGCGGCAGCTATGGCGGCAGCCGAAGTTCTGGACCCATCAAGAGACCTGCAGTGATTGGCGCCACTGACAGCATGCTGGGTCAAGGTGGTCAAGGTACCCAAGGCATCCCAGCAGCCCGAAGCTATGGCACCAAGGGGGGCGATAGGAATGGTTATGGCACCCATCGCAGCCATGAATCCCACCCCTATGCGCAAGAGACGCGGAGCACCACCTCAGTGGGAGGCGGGAGCTTTGTGAAGCTATGCTTCCAAATTCAGATGATTATGATGATTCATCTATATCAGCACAAGTGAGATCCCTTAGAGGCAAAGGGAGGTCAAAGCTTTGGACACTGCCGGTTTTTGCCTGAAGTCAGAAACGAAGGTCAGAGACGAAGCCATCCGAAATGGGTGGAATGAATTGGTGAACATCTCCAGCTATAGTTACTTGTCTCATGTTTTCTCCAACTCTTGACCCAAAGCTCTGTTTTCCCGGTCCAGTTGAGGACACATCCTGACACCCTCTACCAGTGGTGCCCCGCCAGGCCCATGCAAGATCTTTGTCGGTTCGTTGCCGGATGGCTGCCAGGAGGAGATGGTGAGAGACGAGTCGCTAGGCACAGATTTTGGTCCACCTTGGAGGGTCGTTACAAATCTCCTAATTTTTTTGAGGGTGCGAAATATAATCTTTTTCGATGGTTGAAGAATGTTGAATAGTCGGTTGATCTATTCCAGTACCCTAGTCTATGTGTTCAAAGAAAATGTGACAATGAGAATACCTTTCACGGAGTACTCTGCGAGTTTTGCTGGGAATGGAGGAATATGTTAACTTGCAGGACTTTGTTCAGAGTTGAAAACATGACGGGGTCACGGGGGTGCTAAGGTAAGGTCGGGCGTGTGATCCTGCTCACCGCAAAAAGAGTAATGCCTGGGTCGTAGGGTTTTGGCATTGACCAAGAACCAAGCAGCTACACAACCAAGAAATGGGAGATAGAACCAAGAATTTGGTCACCACTATGTGGTTTGTCATTTTGTCGATGTTTGGCTTTCTATTTGCCTGTTTCTCCATTGACCACCACTGCTTGAATCGTTGAAAACAAATTGAACGTGACCCTTTTTGCAGGGAATTCCATTGTTTTTTCGCCATGTTTTTGGTGGAGACATCAAGAGTGACATGGGGCCCATAGACGATCTAGATCCCGTTTCCTTTGTGTGATGCTTCATTTACATATACAGTGGTCCGCGACACGAGAACAAAGGTCTTCTAGTATGATTGGAGGTGATCTTTAACCTTCAGGTGTCAAACATATTCAACTTTTCTACCTTGCTGGGGGTTGACTTGTTGACTCTTGATTTGCCGATGATGCTTTCAAGGCTTTCCCCGCTGATCCCAGATCTTCTCTGAGGTTCTCGAGATATGGCCGGATCACAGACGTGTATTTGAAGCAAGGTTGTGAGTCAGGCCTGGTCGGTTGGATTTTCCCATCATTTCCTATTCAGGCGTCTGTGTTGGCAAAGGAATCTATCCGATATTATCCCATAGCATCCTATTCTTGGGTGGGGCGGGACAACACAATGTCATAATGCAATATAATATAATATATATATAATATATATATATAATATATATATAATATAATAATATAAAATATAAAATAAAATAATATAATATATAGTATAATATAATATAATATAATATATTATAATATTATTTTATATAAATAAATATATATATATATACACATGGTTATGTATGTATGTGAGATAGTTCCCATACATGTCAAAGTTTTTTTCCTGACTTTGGATGTATATATTGTGGTACTTGGCAAACCCTTCTCTTTGCAGGCAAGCAGTGGGCCTTTGTCATCTATTCCTCAGCCGAAGAGGCTGGAGTCTTTTGGAGGTTGGTCTCAAAAAGGGGTTGCTCGATGGTTATAAGTAGAGGATCTTCGCAAACGTGTGGATACCGGAATATTGTACATAAAGATACATAAAGATACATAAAGTATCGTAGTAAAGTATCGTAAAGTATCGTAAAGTATCATAAAGTTAAAGTATCTTAAATTACATGTTAACTTTTGTGATGTCTATAATTGCCTTATTTCCTTGAATTATGAAAGTTAACAAAAGTAAGGCCATGTACGGTCCACTTAGATGCTGTTGTTAAACTTCCAGAGAGTAGAAGTTGAAGGGAAAGTGGCGGAACCCTCACCAGGATATATGGCCGAACCCCTGATGCGCCTGTTGCTTCACGGTTTGTAATGAAATTATGGGGTGGTATGATATTTTGATGGTATTTCAATGTATTTCATGGGGGTTGGTGTCATTCACGTCTGAGAATACCAACCCAACGGATCAGAGATGTGAAGGCGAAGCTTGCGAAAGAATCTACAGACAAGATTTTGAAGCTCCCAGGCGCCTCCAAACCCTGCGAGGCCGGTAGGGAGGTAGGAATGCAACTTGGAGTGTGCAAGTCCTCCGCTGCCTTCGCCTCCTCCATGATGATGATGATGATGATGATGACGATGACGATGACGATGATGATGGTAATGATCACAATGACGATGATGATGATGACGACAACGACGACGACGACAACGACGACGACGGCGGCGGCGGCGACGACGACGACGACGACGACGGTGACGGTGACGGTGATGGTGGTGATGATGATGATGATGGTGGTGAGGATGGTGATGATGATGGCGGCGATGATGATGGTGGTGATAAAGATGGTGGCGGTGATGATGGGGGTGATGATGGTGGCGGTGATGATGGTGGTGATAAAGATGGTGGCGGTGATGATGGGGGTGATGATGGTGGTGATGATGATGGTGGTGATGATGATGGTTATGATGATGATGATGATGATGCTGGTGATGATGATGATGGTGATGGTGATGATGATAATGGTGATGGTGGTGATGATGATGATGATGATGCTGGCGATGATGACGATGATGGTTTTGAAGATGAGGATGGTGATGATGATGATAATGGTGATGGTGGTGGTGGTGGTGATGATGATGATGATAATGCCGTTGATGATGATGCTGATGATGATGACGATGATGATGATGCTGGTGTTGATGATGATGATGGTGATGATGATGATGGTGATGATGATGATGATGCTGATGATGATAATAATGGTGATGGTGGTGATGATGATGATGATGCTGGTGATGACGATGACGATGACGATGATGGTGATGCTGGTGATGATGATGATGATCATGATGATGATGATGATGATGATCGTGTTCTTGGTGGTGATGATGATGATCATGATCATGTCATGTTCGTAGCATATGACAGCAATCAGTCATCAACCTCCTAATCCTCAGCATCCATGTTGATCTTGTCGAGGTGATGCTGGCGAAGAATCAGGGCATGTATGGCCAGGTGGGTTGCTGAGGGGATTATCTTTGCCGCATGCCGCGCTAAGCCATAAAGAAAACACGCCAAGCAGAAACATGCCTAGATCCATTTGCATCCTATGATATTTTTGTATGTCAAGAACTTTTCTGAAAACTTGAGATATCTTCAGATGCTGGTTGTCGTGCCCAAAATGGTTGTTGATACTTTTACCTGTAGTTAAAGATGAATTTGGTTATATAAGGGGAAGAGTCAGAACACATCAGAACAGGATTTTCCTCTGGTTGTCCTTCTTTAACTAACTATCAAATTACAGTTTTCCTGCAGGTTTTCCCAAGGAAACCCTGCCCGAGTCATTTGATCAAACAGGCGCCACTGAGAGATTTTCACCTTGGGGCTGGCATGGCGGGGGGCGGGCAACCGCCTCCACCCACCACACCGCCGCCGCCACACCTCACACCCTGGAGGTGTGCTGAAGGGGCAATTTGGTGATGAGGTATGTATGTCAACTATCTTTCGAATATAATTCGTACCATCTGCCTAACTTGATATATGTTTATACAATTTAAGTATATGATACCGTAAAACTGTATGCACAATCATGTGCATGTAAACAATCCGAAGTATGGTCCTTGATGGTTTGGCAGCGTCAACGTTTCAAGCAATTGCGAATTTCAGGTCCAGGTGATACATGATTCAGAAGTGTTTAAAGACGGCAGAAGGCATCAGATTTGGATTGTGACTACAAGAGGCAGTCATGGACAGATATGGACAGGACTTACAAGACGCAATCTGGGCTACCATACTACCACAACTCCAAGACTGGTCAGACCGTTTGGGTAGCTTGGTGAAAAACATAGTGGCAACTTGTGGGTCAAAACCTATCATCATGAATTGTTTTTCACGATCTGAACAAATGGAGACTGGACATGGCTTACTATGTTTGAAACTGTTTTATTGTTATGTTGGGGCTGGCGCGGCCGAGAGATTTCAATGATTTTAAGAATCAGAAGCAGTCCCAAATTTGACCAATTCCCGTCTCGTGCCCGTCTCATGCGGCTTGGCACTGTTGCAATCCATGCAGGGCAAGCTGGGCACCGATCTAAGGAATGCCCTACAGAGTTTGAGCCACCCCCGGGCAATGTCCCAGCTACCAATGGGAAAGGCGCCACATGGATGTGACGATGTGACAGCTCTGAAGGGCCGTGCAAGGACTCATTGATTCCATGCCATTGACACTTGAAGCAAGTGTCGTAGAAGATTCAACTTCATGATTTCCCAGCCCAAAAGTCAAAATGGGGATGAAGATTGAGAGTATAAAGCAAAGGTTGTAATTATATACTCGAATCTAAGATCTTACTTGAGGGTGGAGTTCCACTTATTAGTGGATATATAAGCATCCATACCACAGTTCCAGGGGTCATGTCCAAACTTTTGGAGAAAACAACCCTTGTTATACCATGTTATACCCATTGATAACCCCAACTGCACCCACAAGTACCACAGATCAACGATGATCAACGGCCGTACGACGCAAGGTGGAGCATCACGTGGGAGGGCCTCACCCTACTGAGGGGGCCCCCTGCTTGCAAAAGTGGTCTGCAGCAGTGACAACAACAAACATCTGGAGATTGGCATGATGATGATGATGATGATGATGATGATGATGATGATGAGCGGTCATTGATGGTTGATCATTGATCGTTGGATCATTGAAGGTATCGGGCACAGGTATGTGGGTTCGAGCATGTTCAACCCCTGAGGCAGACGAACCTTTGAAGTGTGAGTGCGGTGGAAAGTCATGGAAAGTTTGGGGCAAACTGGAGGGACCTCAAATGACATCTTATGACATTTTTAGAAGGAAGAATCCTTCTTTGACAGGCCAGAGATTCCAGTTTTGGTTATTTTGTCCTAGCTGACCAAAATGGAGACGGGTCCAAATGCAAATCTTCCGTTCCTCAGGTGGCGTGACCGACAGCTGAGAGTCCGGTTTTGCTGGCTGGTTGAAACACTTTGGCGAAATTAACACTGGGGAGGTGGTGAGCCCTAACCAACTCTTGGAGCTCTTGAACATATTTGAACCCACAAAAAAATTGATAGTCGGATAGTCGTCATGTCATTGCCGAATTTCCACCAAAATCGGCAATGAATTGGTGGACTTTGAGCCCCCAAATGTTTGCACGGGAACATGTGAGACACCAGTCAGCTTAGGAAGATGATGAAAGGTTTGAACCGCTGCAGCGCCACAAAAAGGAAAGAGCCGCGCATTCCAGTTTGGTGTCCTTGGTGGTTGGGTAGAATCCGAGGAGGAACACACAGTGCACAAGGCTATGGCATGCTATTGCTATGGGTCAAAATATGTCAAAAGCAAAACAATTATTTATACAGATAAGAAAGACTTGGCCAAGAACATCCCCATCACAGCCCTCATCCCCCACATCCTTGGCGATTTGCTTGTTATTTCGATGTGTTCGCCAGTGTGGGCTTTGTGTTTTTACCCGTTTTCAACATGGGAGCTGCAGGCGGCTGACATCGGCCGACGATGCTCAAGTCTTTGTCTCACCTTCAGCGACGATTGAAGAGGCGAAAGGTGTTTGAGATTGTTTGTGGACGCATTGTGTGGAATATGATGGAATCCAGCAATATCTATAGAAAACAAGCAAAGGACATGAACAGGACACGCATCTTAAAATCGGTTTGGGCTCCCTTGGGATGCCGACATTATTACGCCCGGTTTCCATTGGCAGCTGGTTTTTTCGTGGTCTCCGCAACAAAATAGCCACCTCCCAACGACTTGGCCACAAATGATGGTTGCTGGCGATGGAGGGAGAGAGACAGACAGAGAGAGAGAGAGAGCGAAGGGATAGCCTTAGTGTTCCAAAGATAAACAAGTGATGATCAACAGGAGAATCATCGCAAAAATGGGTGTCTACTTCAGGAGTAGAATCGTATGTAGCTACGATTGTCCCTATTTTCCTTACTGTATCTCTATATATATTTGTAATATTTTATAATATCTATCCATATCTATCCGAAATATGCCCTCCAACCACCAACCTGCAGGCTGCAGTGCTCAAGACCTCGACATCCCTTGAACTTTTAAAAAGCATGCGCGCGTGTGCTGCTGGGGTGTGGATCACGGAAGACCATGGGGATGTGATGTGATTGGGAGAAAGCCAACCCTAGTAGGATATGAATGATAAATAATGATGAATCATGATGAGTAATGGGATATATTGGGATATATTGGGATATATTGGGATATATGAACAGATATGAACAACATTTATATAACAACAATTGCGATATGATTGGGATATTCTTCTGAAATATATCTATCCCAGAAGCAGCCAGTCACCCCAGGGCGAACATCAGCCAGGCCATGATGATTTGCGGCATCATTGTGCGCGCCTTGCTGACGCCATGGCCTCAGTTCCGCTCCAATGTCACAGACAAAGAAAGAATATTACTGATGATATACCCTCTGGTTATGTCAAAATAGCTATTGAAAATGGTCATTTATAGTGAGTTTTCCCATTAAACATGGTGATTTCCAATAGTTATGTTAGTTTACCAGAGGGTATATAGATATATTATATTTATTGTGTTTATATATGATGTGCCTTGTGAAATAATAATTACTACTTAGCCATCTTTGATTTCTATGTATATTCCTTGAAACCAGTATTGTAGGTGTTCATTTGATACCGTTTTTGGCCAACTTACGAGCTTAGAAAACCAAAAACATCCACGGAAATCCGTGCAGGATTTTCGAACTTTTTGTTGGCTATTTGTGAAATATTGATACAGACTAAGTTGAAGAGGGTGGGTTAGAAGGGGTGTTTCTCGGATAAGAAGCCTGCTGGTTGCAACTGTTTTTGCGTAGGATGTCCCGGACTGCCTTTCCACATCTAGAAACACTTGAACAAATCCTAACATAATCCTATCCTTCAAATTTCCAAAAACGTTCCGAAACTACCTCCTGCCCACATCTGCCCACCATGTCCCATTTCACGAGCTAGCAGCTAGCATTCTTAAATATGTTTAACGTTGATTGTTTTTTTTGGTCCACCCTGGTCGTTTGAAGGCACCATGGCACCCGGTTTTTTGATCTGGAATCGATCAATGAAGTGGGTTGCCAGCAGCGTTGGACTGTCAAGCTGTGATGATTGAATCAGTGGTTTTCACTTGGTGCCTTCTTAATACCAAACAACATTTTTCATTTTTAGTTGCCTGTTCTTTTTTAAAGTATTTTTAGCTTCAACAACAACACCAACAACAACAACGACGACGACGACGACGACCACAACAACAACAACAACAACAACAACAACAACAACATCGTTCAACTGTTTGAGATTTTCAAACACTTTGAAGTTTTCAAACGTTTTTTGGGACCCCAGCTTTGGCGGCTCAAGTTAGTCAAGATGCAGGTCCCACGACAAGGGTGGAGCCAATGGCCCATGGGCCACACGGGCCACACGGGCCATGCGGGCCACACGGGCCACACGGGCCATACGGGCCATACGGGTCCCGCACCGCAGGTGGGGCTGAATCCCTGCAAATTTCATGGGTTTCAAGTGGTACTATAGATGATATTGGATGATATCTCATGAAAGATCATGATTACATAGCAGATTTAGGATGAGTTTGGTACCTACTTGTGATTTTGAACATTGGATGTGTAAAATGATAAGATTATACTAAATGATGTTCGATGTACATAAAGGATTCTCCATGGGTCGATGATTTGGGCAGGTATATCTGAGCGTTGTAGTTGAGATTGCCAGATGACAGGAGGTGAGACATGAGCACCATATAGCACCATCAGCACCACGGGTTGAGTAGTGTTGAATACTTTCTTTGGAATGTAGGAATTGGTTTTGCCCTTCGCGCCAAAACTGCCTTTTCCAGTGACTTCAGTTTCAGCCCAGCCAGGCACAAGTGGTTCACCAGGTGATGCCTCAAAATGGTCAGATGAACGTGCAGAATGTACCGACTGCGCACCGGCCCAATGGCCAGATGCCTGCTCCCAACGCAGCACATGCTCAAGCAGCCCACACGCAGCAGGCCCAGCAGGCCCAGCAGGCCCATTCCCAAGCTGCACATGCGCCGCATGCGCAAGCGCAGGCACAACATGCAGCGTCCTTTCCTGCGTTGCCAGTGACCTTGAGTAGGCAACACCTTCCTGAGCGCGAGCCTGGAGCCTTTACACCTCCAGCCGCAGCATCCATGGGTTCCTTTGTGGCCCGCATGGGCGAGAGCACCCCCACCAGCAGGGCCAAGTCACCTGAGGTGATCCAAGCGCATGGGCAGATGGTCATCAAGGGCATGTCCGGAAAATCGCCGCCGCGGATGCCCAACCCCAAGGCCTCCCTCGGCGCACTGCCAGGCAGTGCCCGCAACACGCCCAGGCCTCAGCCCAGACCGGTGGTCTCCTTCGTTCCCAACGTTCGCTCCTCCTCCCCATCCCGCGAGGAGCGATCTCCTAGTCCCGAGGCGCGCAAGTGCTTGAGGGATCCCAGCTGTGATCGAGACCATGAGAAACGCCACGATGGTCGCAGGGTGGAGTTCCGCCCTGATGGCTGGCGTGAGGACGGTCGGGACCGGCGTTTGTCGCGGTCTGAGGATAGCATTCCTGAAGAGCCACCACGTCTAAGTGCGGACCAGGAACGTGCAGCCAAGTGGGAACGTGACTTGAGCAGAATCTTTTGATGCTACTAGTCTGTCACCCATTATATCCCATTATATATAAGGAACTTTCACAAAAGTTAGTGTTTTCAACATGTTTGGTGTTTTCAGATATTCCTGTAGCACATGGGCATGCGGTAATATGATCTTTTTAGCTGCAACGGGGACAAATGTTCCAGATATGTGGTGGTGTTGAAATTGTTCGAATGGGCCTATACTTTTACGGAAACTAGAACATGTTGTGTGCTTTGAGTTTTAAACATGTGTCAGTTGTAAGTTGTGCTTAGACTTAAAGAAAATTGAGCATTTCAAGGGAAATAGCGCAGAGACATGGCTTATCTGCGCAGAATATGAAGCACATTCAAACACATTCCGGTCGCTTCATTCCCGTCCACAAAGAACCATCTCTCCTCTATCAACAAGACAGTTGAACCTTACCCACTTTAAATATCTTAAACGCTCTTGTGCTGTAATTTGATTGTCTTTTTCCCTCCACAAATGCTAGATCACTAACCCCTGCTGCTGCTGCTGCTGCCGCCGCTGCTGTTGCTGCTAAAGTCAATTTGCTTTCATCCTGACATTCTTCCTTTCCAGCGGGGTTTCAACCAACCACTTGCCAAGGTGCTAAACCTGATGTCTTTCTTGTTTTGAAGCTGGAATCTTCTCTCCCTTTCCCACATACTTTGATATTATATACTACATCTGTCTACTCCAACTGGGTGACGCTGAAATGGCGCCGTCCAGAATAAGGACTTGAAGTGAGACATCATGACATCGTAGGAACAATATCTCTCCACTTTGTGGAATATCATCTAATCCTCAAAGTGGAGAGCTCTTCCTAGAAGAGCTCTCCGCCAGTACTTCAAAACATTCAAAACCAGTACCAAATATACCTAGCTTCGGTGATCCCAGCCAACTTAGCACATTAGTAACCAATGCTACTGGAAAGGGAAGGTGGAGAGCTCTTCTAAGAAGAGCTCTCCGCTTTGCAACCAACGGCAGGCATCCCAAAGTGGAGAGGGATTGGTCAACCGGGGCCAAAATCAAACTTGACACGGGGTAGGGGTGGAGAGCTCTTCGAGGAAGAGCTCGCCGCCCCCCCGAAAGGAATTTCTCGCCACCCTCCAAACAACCAGAATACCTCGCCGCCCCCCTGTTATAAATTTCTCGCCGCCCCCCAAACAACCGGAATACCTCGCCGCCCCCCTGTTGAAAATTCCTCGCCGCCCCCCAAACAACCGGAATACCTCGCCGCCCCCGTGTTGGAAATTCCTCGCCGCCCCCGAAACAACCGGAATTCCTCGCCGCCCCCTTCTCAGAAAAAAATGCGGAAAACCCCGGTGGCTTATCCTTGGAATCCTTTAGTGGCCCCTGGTATGGGAGAAGCTAACTGATGGCAGCCAAGTGCCCCTAATACAATTCGCAATTTCGCAAGAGTGAACACTGACTATGCTTAATTTATTCTTTAAAAATTGGCTATATTCCCTGACTACTAAAAGTCTAGCATTCTCTTGGCAAAAGATTCCGTACTGCTGCTGCAACTCCCGGCCAAAATTCAAAACACAAAAGCTTTGAACATGAGTCCCCCTAAGAACTTCTTGCCATCGATCAGAATCATATATTCAACACATTCATGGTGGCACTACTTCGATGTTGGTTTTCAACAAAAAAACATATCCTGTGCCAACCCAATACCGAAAACACCAAAAGTGTTGAAAACACTAACTTTTGTGAAAATCCCTTATATGTATCCATGTATGTATGTCTATACTTGCACGGTACTTGTTAAATGTCGCGGAACTTCATCCAGATACATGTGTGTGTTATATACATTTATATACCATCAATTGTACTTACATATCCCATTATTATATCCCATGATTTTCCCATTGTATACCCTCTGGTAAACTAACATAGCTATTGAACATGGCCATTTATAGTGTATTTTTCCATTAAAAATTGTGATTTTCCATAGCTATGTTAAATTACCAGAGGGTATCCCGCCAATGTTTTTAAAACGGGCTATCCCGTTGAGTCAGGTGAGTTGCTGCTCTTCCAGGAGAAGCTGCGTGCGCGCGAGCAGCGCGTCTGCGAGCGCGAGCAGGACCTGGTGACGCGTGAGAAGCGCGTGGCGGACCGGGAGGTCCGATGGGAGCATGGCAGAGCCGGTAGGGCCCCCTACTACGGGGTGCAGTTCCACTAGTTCATGGCCTTGAAACAGGTAGCTTCTCACAGCCCACCTTGTACATATCCAGAAATAGATCATAATAGTTTTCTAGACCGTGATTTACTTTGGAAACTGGTGGGTTAACTGGGAAACATCCAGAACATAAGTAATTAGGAACGATTTGGAGGTGAGACCAGCAAGAATAGGGGATATAGAAAACAACACAAATTGGGGGTTGTAAACAACGAATGGTTTGCTCAAAATATGACGGGTACAATCCCCATCAAACATCATCAAACTCGGGAAATAATGCTATATCCTGCCAAGGATGGTGGATTAATCATTAATCAACAAACAATAGGGGGGGTCAACGGTTTAACCAATGAAAATGGCTGCTGACAAAAATATTTATAACCCACACATCGGCTACATCAACATTGGTGGTCTCCCATGTTGACCGTGTGTGACCTGTTTTGGCAATCACAACTGCTGAAACTGGTTTTGCTTAGATGCAAGTCCTTTCAACTCCCATTTACTTCAAGATTCTTGAAAAAATATGAAAGAAAATGAACACATCTCATACTTATGTTTTTTTTTGGATATTCATTTTTGTAATAGACTTATATCATATATACCATATTTAACATGACTTTTTCGGGAAGGGCGGGCCTTCCATTCACCTTCAGGCTGACTTGGCCAAGATGTTCGACCGGCTGACGGAGCGGGAGGAGCAGCACCGCCAGGAGTGTCAGGTGAGGACCAAGGATCTGGCGCTTCAGAAGGACCCTGGGGATCCCTGGGGCCCTGGGGTCCGCTGGTGGGAAATCACCATTACTTTTTTTTTTATGCAAGTCGGTCATCTATGAATAGGCAATTTTCATCAATTTTCCATTGCTATACGTTGAATTTCCGTAGGTTAAGCATGATTGATCCAACTGGTGAAGGGTTTTTCACTGTCAAAAGTGATGATGTGGTTGCTGCTTTTGCTGCCGGTGATTGCCGGTGTGTACAAAAATATCAGCTTGGATTTCTTCTGATCCAATTCGTACACTGCCTATCGTTTGTAAATGTTTGTAATCATTTTGCATTTGTTCAACCATACATTATCTGACTGCATGTGTGAACTTATGGGCACGTTGATACATTGTTGTTTATCTCATATGGTTTGCAGTCAAAATTCTGGTAGACCACTTTAGTAGGGAAGTGCTGACTTTGTGTCTGGAAAATGCACTAAACTCTGCGTAGCGACTGGCACGTGTTTTCCTCAAGCAATGTTTCTTGTTTTCAACATCTTAGTTTGCAGAAAGTGCTGTTGAAGCACAGATGCAAGAGTGGCGAAAATAACGATACCCCTGGGCCTAGCGATACCTTAGCAATACCCATTTGTTCAAATTTGTTCTTAGGTCCCGGACCACAGATAGACCCTGAATGAGAGACGCTGCTTCCTCATTCTTTTCTTTTTCCTTCTTTTCTCTTTCTTTCCTCTTTCTTTCCTTTTCCTTTTCTCCTTTTCTCTTTCCCTCTTTCTTGCCTCTTTCTTTTCTCTTCCTCTGTTCTTTCTTTTCATCGTTTCCCTTTCTTGCCCTTCCTTGCACAGATTCGTTCCTCCATTACCTGGATAAGTACAAAACCATGTGGCAATAGGCCCCCAGAAAAACCATACCTTTTTTCAACTAAGATAAGACAGGGAGTTTTGACAGTGGCTCATTTATCTTCATATGTACTATATTACAATGTGATACTACATTACTACATTACTACATGCTTCCTTTGTATCCTCGTCCGCATCCAGTTTTCACAGCGATCCGAGAGGAGGAACTCCAGGCAGAGAGTTTGGAGTTGAAGAACCGTTGCGCGGATTTGGATTGTCGCAATGCTGATTTGGACCAGCGAGAGGTGGGGAGAATGAAGTTGGCCACGGGGGAGAACATTCGTAGTTGAGTTAGTTTATATGTGTTTATATAATATTGAGCATGTGACTACACACGCGGATGTTACATATGGATACATATGGATAGATGTTTATTTATAGTCTGATGTTGTAGACATGGATGCAATGTGTATGATGTTAGTGTTTTGAAGGTTCGTAGTTGCGGCCTTCGCTTGTGGACAACGACACTCTGTCGTGCTGACTCAGTCCTTTGACTCAGTGTAGGGTCTCGATAGCCATGCCAAATGAGTCAAAACTTATGAATAGACTATGTCAGGGGGTTATCCATAGTTGAAAAAACAACAGTTATGTAATCTATTGCTATCCATATCCATGATGAGTCTGATGTTTATGTTCAAACTTTTTTCTATGACAAGAAAATATAGGCACTAGAGGTGAGCAGCGACCCTTGTGGCTCATACCCTCTGATATTCAAATCTGGCCTTATGTTACAGGGGCCAACAACCTATGGTTGTCCGTAGTATCCCTCAAAACTGCATCCATTGATCATCAGCAAATCCTTGTTGTTCTTGGTAAAAGTCCTGTAAACGTATTTTTGAACATCCAATTTTGTTGCATTGTGAACTCCACCATTTTTTTTGCCGACCTTCTCGCCCTTCTTGGATCCCCCCCAGCCGAAAAAGGTGAAGTTAAAGACCGAAGAGGATCGGTGCAAAGAGCTGAAGCGCAACTTGGATGAGAGGGATGCCCGTGCCTCGGCAAGGTATCTGGGTCTGTTTTCACCGGTCTACCAGCAATTTATGGCCATTGAACAGGGAAAATGGATGAACATCGGGTTTCAAACTACTGGATGTGGTGGTATTTACTCTACTTTCAGACAAAGCCATCTAGATATCTTGGGACTACCTTGGGTATATTATATGGGATATATGAATTATGATTTATCTTAACGCGTTGCAATATTGTTAGATATCCAGGTGGATTGGATAATGTGACCATTAATATATGGTATATATACTTGTTGGCTATATCATGGGTCATAACGTTGAAGCCATATATAAGAAACTTCAACAGATGGGCAAATGATGACTTTGGCAGTTGACTACTTACATCATATCATATAATTATATACATCATATTATTATATCTAGATCATGGGATATCATGGGGGAATAAACACTTTGGTACTATGATTCTTCTGGACCATGATGACGGCTGGAAGATGATGGGCCCCATGAGGCCGCTCCAACAAAACACCTTTTTTTTCACTTGGACGAGTATCAAGATGGAGGTAGACTCATGGTACTGACGTGGTTTCTATGGATGGGTAAATACCCAAGGATGAAACTTTTTCTTTGGGTTGAGATCCATTGCTGTTTTGGGAGGATGGGTGATATACCAACAGGTTGGCACGAGGCCGCCAAAGATGCCACGGTGATCCTGAAGCCACACCTGAAGCCGCGGTTGTCACCGCGGGGCAAAGAGAACTTGGAGTTGCAACGTCAACTCGAGGAGCAGCGTGGCTTGATGCACAAGATCAAGCGCAAGCAGGAGGGTGGGGGGGTGAATAGGATGGGAGGATGCTGATGTGGGTGGGATTCATGATGATTTATGAATCACAAGCTGGCTAGGCCACTCCACATTGCACACATGAGTCGGATAATGAGTGTGTATGTAAAGTCGAGTTTCAAACCGGGGATTGGGCTTCAGACATCATGCGAAGTCACCGGTTTCTTGGGATTCTCAGGGATTTTCATAGTTTTCTTCGTACTTCGTTGCAGATGTTGCAGGACAGTTGGACCGATGGTGAAGAGAACTCCCGGTGCCATCGAGACAGCTTTGGTTCTGAGGAGACGGTTGCGGGACACGGACATTTCTGAGGCGAGACTGTGTCAAAGAGGTTGATTCATTGGATTGGTTGAAGGAAAAAATAGGGGAACACCTTGTAGTCACTACCCTCTGGTAATTTAACAGTAGCTATTGAAAATGGCCATTTATAGTGGATTTTCCCATTAAACATGGTGATTTTCCATAGCAATGTTAAATTACCAGAGGGTAGTTGATGGGCAGAACCGATGCTTTCCTGTAGAGGTTCTCGTCAACCAATCCAATGAAATTCACGATGGATGAGTGGATGATGAATCAGGATCAGGATCCTGCTGTCGCTGCTGATGGGATGATGGGATGTTGGGATGATGGTTTGTTGCTGTTTGTTTTGCTGAGTGTTTCACATGCATAGGCTGCATAGGTGTGACGTCTCGGACATCTCGCTACATTTCCCTGGCACAAAAACATCCAAAAACACACCCGGCAGGCCACAGCTGAACAGCTGTGAGGGATGCCTTTTGACGTGCCTTTTTTTGGGCCAAGTGACGCGCTATGAAGGCTATTGAAGGCCATTGAAGGCTAAGCGGCTACATCCACCAGTGATGTGTCGATATTGTCGATGTATCAACCATTGATTGGCTGATCGGATCTGATTGGCACGTGTCAAGCTTCAAACGTGTCAAATGAAGGGGTTGCTTTCACAGCATTTCCCGGCTGCTGTGATGAGACGTGAGACGGGAGACATTTCCCGAGTTGCCTGGGAGCGGCAGCAGGGTGACCAAAAAGGTGCTACGTGCTTGGCCTTTTTTTGTGTGTGGATTGTAACCACGGTGTAACCATTGCGCCCCCCTTTCATGGATATTTTATTTCATTTTTTTTTTCGCGGTCAATTCACCTTTTGGATCTTTTGGACATGTTCAATCTTTGGCTGGTTAATGCTGGTTGCACGATGTTCGGAATGCCTACCCAGCTGCCACCTGCAATGCTCTTGGCCAAGCCGTAAGGTCAGATGTGAATGGCAGCGATGCCAAAAACGTAGCGCTGCGGCGTGCTCAGTCGGCAGTACCAGGGGGTGGCCCTGGGGGGGACATGGCGCGACCGTTGTCAGGTCACTCTTGGCCCAGATCACACCACGCAAGCACGCACCTGCAATTGCAATGCCTGGCGCCTGAGATGTCAAGGGGAAGCATGAGAAATCCATAGAAATCCCCCAGAAATGGAGATTTAACTGGAGAATGTAGTGGGAAAATCATCGGCCAATTATAAACGAAAGGGTTTCTGGACCTGTGATGATAGCCTGTTGGCATGATACTGGCGTGGCACAGGCATGTCTTGGCGCAGCAGTGTTCGCTTTCCCACCTTTATCCAGCTCAGAATCTAGGTGCTTTTGAGTCAAGTGGGTAAGTTGAATTCATGTCCCTGCGACTCATGTAGGATATACATATATATACCGTATATATATCGGATGTAGTTATAGGGTGTTTGTCTCCACAAATCGTTGTTCATGGTTCATTTCATGAGCATGGTAAATAGCATGAAGCTTTTGCGAGCGAGCCCAGCACTCAGGCAGTGGTCCAAAACCTGCATCAAAGTTCTTGAGCTCCTCAAAAGCCTCAAACGATATCCTAGAACCAACAAGATGAATGAATTACTGAAAAACTGAAATATGTTGCAATCTCCATTGGGAAAAACCTCAATTTCAATAGGGGATTTTCTTTCGACGTTGGCACCCGCCATGCCTCCGACCTGTGACTGCGGCTCTACAGAGGTGGAGGTAGCCTGGTGGCAGGTACAGCATGTCATGGCATAGTTGATGTATCCTCTGGTTAATAATGAATGGTTAGTCGAAGGAAGTTTAGAAGTCAAACTTCCGACAATATGGACAGATGAAAAGCAGAGCAGGGCAGAGGCAGAGAGAAGGGAAGAGATGAGACGAGAGAAGAGTAGAAGAGAAAGAGTCAGAAGAAAGAAGATGCAGATGCGCGAAAAGGTAGGAAAGTCGCGAAACACTGTGTTTTTCCAATGATTTGAGGCTGCGGAGGGTCGAAAAGTAGGCTCGCTAAAGCGGCGGGTGCGGAGCCAGATGGCCAGATGAGAGATGAAAAATTGCACGCCGTTGTGGCGCGAAGCACATTTCGAAGTCAAAATGTACAAAACACCTCAGCGTCGGACCACTTTTGGAAGTTGCGATGTCGAAAAAGTGCACCCAGATAGATAGATAGATAGATAGATAGATAGATAAATAGATGGATGGATAGATGGATAGATAGATAGATAGATAGACAAATAGCTAGAAAACTAGACAGCTAGATAGATAGGTAGATAGATAGATAGTTAGGGAGATAGATAGATAGACAGGCAGACAGATAGATAGGTAGTCAGATAGATCAGTAGGCAGGCAGGTAGATAATCAGAGAAAGATAGAGAAACAGAGAGAAAACGAGAGAAAAAGAGAGAAAGAGAGGAGACCTCAAGCACCTTTCAGTCCATCAGTGGCTTCGCTCTGCCATCCCTGATTCACAACAACCAACCTCTCCTATAGGTTTCCTATTTTTGAAGCTTCCGCCACCGCCTTGTGCGGTACTACTGGTAATGGTTAATAACGGTCAATAATGGTTGTTAGTCATGGTCAATAATGGTTAATCATGGTTAATAAGGGTTAATAATGGTTATATACTAATGGTTATCAATTAGTGGTAACCGTGATTGATGGGATTATCCTTTGCTAATCAAACGTAGCCGGAAATCCTCAAACTTAATGGAGGTTGATAGCTGGGAAACTTATGGTGAATTTCCCAGCCAGCCATGTTTGATTGGAGCGGGAAATGATGAAGTGCTTGGATTTTTGGGGATAAACATGGATAAAGTAGTACATCTTGGGCGTGAATCGTCGGCCAAAATGGGACAATGCCCAGCTCAAGATGTCTATCTTTATGTGTCCATGGGATCCATTCCAACACACTGTTTTTCTTCAGAAACAATAGACCCAGCCACAGATCATTTGATCATTTCGCCCCAAATTTCCGTCGCCCTCATCTTGGACATCCTGTGGTCAGGTATGAAACCAAGTTTCATAATGTGGGCAAGCCGATGCCAATCAATCATCATAAACCTATCATAAACATTACCAAACTTGGAGATGGTTGGAATCCAACCACCTGGTGATGACCATAATCTAATACCATAATCCATTTGGAATAAACCATAGTCAACCCAATATGTTGGTAATTTCTAATACCAGAATGGTTAGAATAATGGTATCAGGACCTATAATTCATGGTATTAATAGGTATTGATACCATTATTATTCATTATTATATTCATGGTATATTGGGATTTTCTAGTTGCCAATACCTCTGGATTTTCCGGTGAAATATGGGCCTTTCCTGTGAATGAGCGCGACGTGATGTCGGCAGGTGCAGCGCGGCGCCCAGACCTGCCTGAGATGTGGCACGGTGCTTCCAGACTCGGAGCTCCAGCTCTACCGAAGCGCCACGGCGGAAACCAACCGCGTTGTTGGGAACCAAAAAAATCCATGGGAAGTCCGCGATTCCCAAGGGTATCTCACTACTTATATCATTATTATATGTGTGTGTTGAATTGCAATATATTACCAGTAATCTATCATAATTTGTCTATTTTCTTTTGTGTTTTTTTTACTCGTCATTACTCTCTATAGTATGTACTTGAATGTGACCTGTATGCACACGTGCATACACCATGGTGACCATGATTGGTGAACATTGGTGACCCATGTTCGATCCCTGGAATGAGTATCGGAACTAATAATGATCTGACACGTTTTGTCCTTGCGGGATGTTCGTTCACGTTGGCTCACTCTTTTGACGGCCTTTCGATATACACTGATATACACTGATTGGTTGCATCATGGTCCTGCAAGATGATCGTTGATGTTCCATCCCAGATTTTATCATGTTCCAGGACAGACATGTATGAACGATAGATCCATTTATTGTTGTGAGAGCCATGATTTGTCCAATAGAAACCTCCATTGGCTTCCTGGGTTGCACCCAGTGCCGCGGCAGGCGACGACTACCAAGCAGCCAAAAAGGTGCAGGTTGGATGCTCAGAAATCACCAACGAGGTGTTTTTTTTGTGGTGTTGGGGGTCATTATGAAGGGATATGAAGGGCCCATGTGTCAGAAATGTATGGCCCGTATGGCAATTCTGAGTATTCAACTCTATAGATGTGGAGTGAATCATTTCAAAGTCGCCACTTCCAACAGCTTTCGACATGAAAAAAGAGGAATGCATCTCGAAGCCGACAGCAGGTTGGTTGGAGCCCATTGAATCATTCCATGATTCTTTGTAGAATCTCATTGAGATCTCTAGGCAATCTCCCCAACCATTAATGCTTTATAGGGGTTCTGAATAGCCAACAAATTCTACTATGGAAATTGTATGGATTTTGTTAACCCCCTGGGGAATTTGCATAAAGTTACGAAATTCGGCGGGTGGGGGGGGGCACCCCTACACTTCTACGGAACTTGGGAATCACCAACAGGCAGGATATCGCCTTCCGAGGTGAAGAGGAATGACTTTCAGATGGAGCAGCTTTGACCGCACTGGGACCATTTGCAAATCCATTGAGAATCCATGGTCAATGTTCAATGATCTATGGGTGGACCGTGGTGGACCATTCCATGATCAATGGGTAGACTACGAGGGACTCACTGATTTTTCAGGATCTTCATGGAATTCTCCATTGATTTTTAAAACTATATAATTGATCCTATTTGTGTACCGGACTCAAAGGGAGGGCCCCACCGCACTGAGGCGTTTGCGGGCCATCAATGTTAAGGCTGGACGGAGTGCGCGAGCTGACAAATATCTCAGGGTTGTGACTCGAATGGAAGACTCATGTAGGACAGGTCAATAGAAAATCTCATGACCACATCAAACAGATTCATAAAGCTGAAGCAATACAGACATGCAAAAACTTTGAAGAAAAGGAGAGGGGGCCCTATGCCTGCGACCCTGGCAGGCCATGACCATGCACCTTCGGCTGGAGAGATGGAAACTGGCCTTGAGCAAACTCTGTGGGCAGTTGAAGTTGCAGGACGCCATAAGAGATTCCGCGCTCCTCGACGACGGCTGAGAATGGGGATTGTTTGGGCACGAAGGGGACCAGAGGGCTATTTAATGCTTATTTATTCATACACCACATCCTGCAACCGAAGGTCTCGCGACTTTCCTTTCAGTACTTTTGAGGTATGTAAGAGATGATGCAAATCAACATGAAGGTAAGGGTGGAATGAATTAACAGTTAACAGATGACGAGAAACAAGTGTTGGCATGGGCAATTCCTCCTGGTCAGGGGATCGCATACGCTAAACCAAACAGAAACCAAGCATATATACAAAAACAATCAAAACACACTATATATATATAGATATATCTATATATATATATATAAATATATAAATATATATAATTATATATATATATATCATCAGATCGCCAATATTTCAAAACGCACGTGGCCTCACCTGTCAAGGTTCCGGCTGGTTCAGCACCGAGTCTCCAATGGATTCCGAGGGTCCAAGGTGCAATGTCAGATCCAACTGCTGCTTGCGTTAGGGGAACCCAACTGAGTTGCTATTCAAAGGTAAGTTTTGCATTTTACACGTTTTGATGACATCTTGTGGTATTTCATTGTTTTTCACAATATGTTCTTATTTTTGTAGGCTTGCTAAAACTTGTGGTGGTTAAATATTAATTGCATTTGTTTGTTGTTTGTCACATACACCTTGGCCCCCTTCGTACCATGGGATTCCGTATACCATTCATGGCCAAAACATGGCTGTTTTGGGAAGCGTTCCCACTTGAAAGTCATTGATCCACCAAAATCATCAAATGGTTGAATCAATATGAATCAATTCTCAAGCCATCACTGGCCATCATTGAAAATCTCAACACCACTGAGGCTCCAAAAAAAAAAGGCAATTCAATAGCCAATATTTCATTCATAATTTTTGCAGCTGGCATATACTGTAACAAACAGTCTAACCATGAAGTAGACCAACAACTAACAATTAATAACCAACAATCTAATCATCAACTTAACCAACAACCAACATTTTCACCGGCCGCGCTGCCGCCACCAGGAACGGCACAAGCTCCTGGGCTGCGCGTGTTTGGTGGTGGCAGCCTCCAAGCACAATGTAGGCGCCGGGTGCCGGGGGTGGGGCAGATGGGGCAGATGGTGCAGATGGTGCAGATGGGGCTTGGGGATTGATTGTTGAAAGAGACGTTCTGCCCCGCCGAGCCTTGCCGAGCCAATGGTGGTCCAGGAGTGACGTTGGAGGAAGTGGCACTGCGATGTGATGTGAAGGCAGGGCCGCAGGGCAGTGGGCAGACCTTTTGAGGTCACAATTTCTCAGGCAAATTGCAGGGACATCAATGGACATCATTGGCCCAGCTCTAATAATCTCTAATGATAGTTAGAATGGGAAATCACCCAAATTGATCAACATGGCCAAGATTGCCGAAACTTTCAGGTATTTGAAGTATAGTACAATTTGCATCACTTTGCCCGGATCCACGGGAAACACTGGAAAATTCACCGAGGATGCAATGCATGAGCTTGTCACACGTTTTCGAAGATGTTTGAAGGATCAGGGTCCTTCAGCAAGTCACAGAACATGCATACAGGCTCACATCCAAATGCAGACAGAGTACGGTAATCCTATTCCCTTAAGTCCTACAACACCCCAGAAGCCATGGTTGGATATGGTTAGCAGTTTGGATTTGTTCATTCTGACATTTGAGGGACCACGATATTACAAGGTTTTCGGTGATGCAAGCCCGGAGGCGAACCTGCTGCAAAAGATGATCTGGAAAGTGTGCAAAGAGACGGGGGTCCGGATCTCCAGGAGCTTCCGACTTTGGACATGTTGAGAAATCCGTGACAAGTCAATGTTCCATCACGAGATGAGAATCGCAAGTAACCGCAAGTAACTCACATGGCTTTTTTTGGGGGGATGGGTTGAAACATGTTGAAACCAAGAATTTGAGGAGTTTCCTTGCATGGTCAAGTGGCTGATCATGGATGATACCGGTTGAGTCTCTTGGGGCAGCACCTTCCGACCATCCCAAACCTGGTGAGGAACGAAGAGAACGCCGAGGCCTTGTTGAACCGACTGTGCAAGCACCTCAACATCAATCAGACAGGACCTATAGGAGTTACATGGAATTCCACATGAGTTCCACCAGGTTTGGCTCCTGGAGCCCGTTCCGTTGGATTCCATGGGCCCTAGTTGCAACATGTTGCAACATGTTCCGATGCTGCCAGGAGGAGTGTGTGCATATGGCTGCAAGCTTGTTTCCATCGCTGGCCAAGGTTGGCTGTATGCGCAGGGCCATAGGAATAGAAGGATGATTCTGTGGAAACCCAATGGCTACTTGAAGTATGATGTCTGCAGATGACTGAATCATTCTCTTCGATTCATTCATTTATCATCCCAGGACAGCCCAGGGCCCAGGAATCATCATTTGATCGAAGGTTTCCAGCTGCCGCTTCCAGGTTGGGTTTGCACCGGGCGGAAGTGGAGCTTCATCGTTGCGGCTGCCTTCTTGTTGGCTGCCGAAGCCTTCTTCTACTTGATCGAAGTGGAGGACGTCCTGAGCTCGGGATGCAACAGCCTGGCTCTTGCTATCCACCAACCTGAGAGGTTCAACATGTGGGGTTGTCTCCAAATAGGGGAACACGCAAATGAATCGCATGTTTGATCATTTTCATTTTGCAAAATGAGGGTAACTTTGAATAACCCATTGGATGTTGTAGGATTTTGTGCTTTCAAAAGCCTTTTGTGCTTTCAAAAGCCCGACTGAGTCCATTCTGCAAGTCATGGCGTCACCATGAGCCGAGGTGGCACGCTTTCTGGGCATTGCTGCTGGCACCATTGCACTGCGAATCAAGGCTGCGGCTACCTCCCTGAAAACCAACAAAGAACCCTGCCTAAGAATTGAGTTTGGAAGATGAGACTCCGATTAAATACTTAATCTCTCAGTTATTGGAGCTTCCATTTGACAGGAGCTAGAAGAAAAACAACGTTGTCATATTTAAGCAGCATTATTTCCTGATGTTTCCTGGTCAACCCTTAAACCACCAGGAATCACCAGCAGGGCACTCGTCGGAATCGCCAGGAGATCAAAGACGTGTTGCTGTCGGTGATGCAGCACCTGCCTTGGGGCCACATGATTGAGCTCAGCAACCTGCACGTGCCTCCCGGCTCATAGCATCCTCTGATGGGGTCGGATGGGGTCAACGGAAAAATTGTGTTTTTTAAATCAATGTGAAAATCATATATATGGTTTTGTGAGGAAAATCATGTGAATCATGGTTCTTAGCCTCCCATTTGTCAGAATATAGGATTTTCCAAGAATGGGAAGTTATCAAAGGCTACTCATGATGGGATGTTCGAACAGTTTTGGGCGGGGGCAACGGTCGTGTGCTGATCTATATCGTGTTTAAATATGCTCAGCAGTCCATTTGAATCACTTGAATCAGGATAAGCAAATCATGGATGATGCCGGTCCAATGAATTCCAGCCAAGGTATCTCCCCTTCGCCTTAGAGCACTGGGACGTCCTCTATCCCGCAGCCCCACTGCTGCGGAAGCAGCAGATTGAAAGCCAACAAAGGCGACAGAAGGCGACCTGGGAAGGTCGTCATGGCAGTTTCGATGGCAGTCTGGGTATTGTGACAGATGAGAAAATCACGGTATATCCCGGTTTTTTAAGTGGGTACATGGTATAATTATGTATGATTATAACTTTTAACAAACTTTCAACTTCATGTTATACCGTTATACCGCAGAAATATGTGGGATTATGTGGGCTATGAACCGCATAGGAACTGGGACGATCATCTTCGGTAATTCTGCCCAACGGCCATATGGACCAGGTCATGGCTTAAGCTGTCTTTGGCGGGTCATAGATATCTGCTCATCAAAACAATTTGCCATCCCATGGTTTCCATAGTTTCCATGTTTGAATCCAAGTTGTTGGATATGACCTGGGTGAGAATTAATTCAGCTTCTCGGGTTCCATCATCATCATCATCATAATAATAATAATAAATAATATATAATAACGACATATCATATAATGATATATAGTAATAATAATAATCATCATGCCAATCTCCAGATGCCCAGAAAGGCATTGGAGTTGGTCAGAGATGTTGGAGAAGGCTCTTGCCATCGTGGCACTGGAGGGGTTGCCAGTGACCTGGTTACTGGTTGGGTTTCCCAGAGTCTCAAAGGGCAACGGCTGTACGAATAGCTATATGATAATTATGATATCCCAAAAGTATTGGCTGTCACTGAGACGTATGAGACGACATATTTATATAAATATATAAACATATATAGATATAGATGGATGGATGGATGGACGGATAGATAGATAGATAGATAGATAGATAGATAGATAGATAGATAGATAGATAGATAGATAGATAGATAGATAGGCATTCTTTTACAGTGCTTGAGCTGCAGATCAGTAACGGCAAACAATAAACAGATGGAGATAATTATAGACTATAGACAGGCAGACCAAGGCATCCAACGTGCAGATTCCCTGACTATTTGTCTCCAGCGCGAGCCAGGAGCTGCACCGTCCTCGTCCAAACGTGCCAAAAGCCAACATGCTGATGGAAAAAGGGGCATCGCAGCCACGGAGTGTTCAACCGTGTTAGACTGTGGTCATGCCAATCTGTTTTTGGACTTGCACAGAAGGATAACCCAGGATAAACCAACATGGGTACAATTCAAGTTTTATGACATCTCAAGTTGGACTTGGGTAGCTGGGATGCACACCCAGGGGATGGATGTCGGACGGCGGGAAGGTCAAAGCACTCAACATATTGCTGGGACACGCATGGATGGTTAGTTCAATGCCGTTAATCTTATGCCATCAATTGGGTAAAGTATATGCCCAGTTTTTGACCAAATGCAGGGAAACCAAGATTGGCCATAGATTGAATCCTGCCATTGAGGCTGACGCAAGTGGCCAAAAACGATGAAGATGCAAGCGTGGGGAGCCCTAGCAACTTACCAGCAACAGCACCCTCTTTGCTTGTCGAGCTAGGGTTTCACCTAGATCCAGCCCCCATGATTCCCAATTTCATCCACTGAGGTTCGGAGTACAAGGTTTCTCTCTTTTGCCTGCTTGCTGCACCTTTTCTGATGCTGATGTTCATAGCTTCCTGCTGCTCTGTAATGTGTGGTACAGGATGGATTTTGATGGATTTTATCTGGGTTTTGCTTGTGATTTCCCATATTTATATTTGAAGGTACACCCCTTAAAATCCAAAGAAAAATAAGCCTGATAAAATTCCATAAACATCTTTTATATAAACTTAAACTGTTCATGAAAACTCAAATGTAATCCCCAAAAAAACATACCCTCTGGTAATTTGTCACATAGCTATTGAACATGACCCATAGAAATAGTGGATTTTCCCATTCAAAATGGGTGGATCTTTCCATAGTTATGTTAGTTTACCAGAGGGTAAACCTCCATTTTCCTATGGTTTTCCTATGGTTTTCCTATGGTTTTCCTATGGTTTCCCTATGGTTTTCCTATGGTTTATGGCACAAAAAAAAATCCCAAGGTCCGCCTCGCGGCGCTGGATGCCCTGCGAGCCGTGGCCGGAGAAGGCGATGGTGAAAGACTTCCGAAGAATCCAGCAGCAAGAGGAATAGAATGGAGAATATTTATAGAATATGAATATATATATATATGATATATAATATATATATGTATGTATTTTCTTTTTAAACTGATTCACACATATTTAATTGATTTATCGATTGATTGATTGATTGGTTTGATTTGATGTGATTTGTTTTGATTGACACACGCACATGTACATAACCAGAAACAAGCCGTATCTAAGATGATCCAAGCATCTAAGGTGATCCAAGCATGGTAAACCAGCAGCCATAGGGATCAATAAAGATAATACGTCACCAACAATGAGAGATTTAACCAGATAAACCCACAACCAACAACAACCAACAACAACGGGGGATCTAAGTAACAGAACACCATCAGGCAGCAAGCACCTGAAAGAAGCGGTCGGGTGCCTCAGCCTGCTCTCTGACCAAGGGAGACTCAGACCTCACCAAGTTGGCAACATTTAGCCCGAGAACTCCTGCTGAAACCAGCTTTGTTCAAGGTTTCCGAAACATCGTTTTTTTATCTATAAATGACAATGGACCAGTGCGTTCAACGCGTTCATATTGGCTGCTTCAGGCCTTGCACCTGGTGCTGGATGAGGATGATGTGGCTTGGACAGATGGTAGAATATCGACAGGATTCCCCACCAAAAATTGCCTAATTCTGACCACTTCTGACCGGTCTTCATTGGTTTGAATCATGGAATGCCATTGCAATGGCAAATGCCAGGGGCCATTTAAGCGGTTCTATGCACGGCTGAGCTATTCTGTGCCCAAGCCGAAAGCTGTCATTGGAGATGTGAAGCTCCTGTGAAAGAATGATAGGGGTTGATGACAATCCAAAACCCATGTATACTAGTTACTAGCCCGATCAATCAAACCCGAAATGTTAGCTGAAGTTCCCACCCAGTGACCTGATTTTTTTTTAAACTTGGGACACCAAAAATTATGCCACAAGAACACGACAGCAATATCCAGCAGCAGCATGCTTGCCTTTGCCCCAGTTCCCAATATTCAACTCTCACCTGGAGAGAGAGAGAGAGAGAGAGATAGAGAGAGATAGATTCGGCAACCCTCAGCACCTTGGAGCGTTGGTGCCAGTTGTCCCCTTTCGTTTCTCAGGTAGTTGGGGATGCAGCAGCCGAAATTTTGGAGGGCTTAGACCTGACTCAGGAGGACCTGATGGTGCAACTAGCAGATATCAGCAGATCTTGTGGGGATTTGAATCAGCCAGCGCCCAAAAATGGGGGAAATCATTAACAGAGAAAAAATCAAATAAGATGTTAAGATATGTTGATGGAAACAGGTGGAAATTGTGGAAAATGAAGCAACACTATCCAAAAGTGGAAACAACATAAGTTGAAGATGATGCTGTGCATCAACCAAACGTGGTCCCATTCTAGGAGCCAGACGAGCAAGCGGGAGAGGTGGCACCCGAAATTCCGAGTGCGCTTGCGCCAGGACCCAAATGGGATCGCCAGAAGTCTGAGCTGATGGTTCCATGATGGTATCATGAAATCTCAATCATTTTTGTTGCGCACTGACCTCAATGGATTGGTGGGACAATTTGTTCACTGGACTTTCTGTAGGAAGTTTTTCCTTGAAATGTGGTTAGTTTAAGGAAATATGGTTAGTCCCTATTAATCCCTATTAAACCCTGGGGGTTTCCGGAAACCATTTTTCCTCAACAAAACCGATCCATTGATGACAGCGCTCCAGCGATTCCAGGAGGCCATGCCGAAGGATCCGAAGGATCCGAAGGATCCGAAGGCCAAGGGGCGCCTGGCGAAGCGCCAGATCCTCCAGGCGGGATTTTCCCACGGGGAAGTCCTCGAAGTCAATAGACACTATTATAATATAAATAAATAAATAAATATAATATATATATATATATATATGTGATTATTTAATATTATATATACACACATATAGTATATGTATGATATGTATGATATATATATATATATCATTTTCAATGAATATTATATATATATATATGATGATGTATGGGAAAGTCATCTTAGATGGCGGTAATATGGGAGAGCTCCAACTGATCCCACGAGGCCAAAACATTGAGACCGAAGAGGTTCAGGACATCGAGGAATGATGAGCTTTGAGTGGCTGGATATACCTCTGGCTATCGAATGGTTAGGAGAAAGCTATATTGAAGGAGCTGTAGCTATATCCATATGTTCTATATATATATACATATATATATACATATATATATATATACATATATTCCCTATGAAATATGCACATTCCCTATTAAATATATATATATATAATAAGAAGCGGCAGGGAACGATGATCAGAGTTTCCCAAGCACATGCACAGGACGTGACCCGCCTGGCACAACAGTTCAGCAGCGTGCAGTGCTTGGACTTTGAAGGTCCACAACAGCTCGGTGCCCAGTGAATTTAGAACCTAGGCATGTTGGAAAAACATGGAAGAAGAATAGAAAAAACATGGAAGAACCATGAAAAACATATTGGACACTCATAGAATGATAGTTATACACAATATATATATAGTTGGCTAGTTCCACTCAGCTTGATGCATTGCCTTGTGCGGATATCTTTGTTGGAAACGAATAAGGATGGAGCAGCTACTCAAGGCCGGCCGTTCAGAAAGGGCCTCCCAGTTGCGAGTTTTGGGTAGTGATAGCCCTAGCTCATCAACTTCAAATTACTGCTTATGGATACCCTCTGGTAAACTAACATAGCTATTTAACATGGCCATTTATAGTGAGTTTTCCCATTAAAAATGGTGATTTTCCATAGTTATGTTAGTTTACCAGAGGGTAGGTGATGAATGTTGATGATAGTTGCTAGCTTTGAGTGTCCTAGTCGCTACCAATCAACTCACAAAGTGACCAAACACGGCTGATATCCCCAACCGGAGTTCCGAATCAACTCCAAGTCACTATACTTGGGAGCATGACAAGTTCCCAGAATTTTAGGGATTTCCTCGAATTTCTGCAGGAAAGCCCATGTTTTCCCGGTGGGATTTCCCCCTACCAACCCAACCCATCGAGCGATCCTGAACAAGGACGAGGCACTACAACGATGGCTGCGGGAGAATTTTCAGCACTTCGATGGCTGGGTGTCAGGCGGCCGGGAAAACAGAGGTTTCTGCCGGGGGAAACCTGGACAATTTTAGTGGATATACCACTGATATATAATTAATGATATACCTGACATATCTCACATGAGCCCGAAAAGGGGCGGATTCCTTCCGGCACATTGAAATGTGAGGATTAGATCAGAAATGATCAGAAAGACATTTGGAATTTGAATGAGGAAAAAGGTGAGAAACCCGCAACGATTGACCAGTCCACTTCTGTTTTCTATCCCTGCTTGGGATGCCGACAAAGTCAATTTTTGAACATGGAAACCAACAAGCAAAACTGATTACTGATGAATTCATGTTACGCCACGGCTGGATGTGGGATGTCACTGACATGAATATACTGCAAGATACTGCAAGATTTATAATGTATATATATATATGTGTGTGTGTGTATGTATATATATACATACATTGAAATGATATTGTATATTTACATCCCTCCATGTAAATATATGTAATGTAGTCATGTCGCATCATGGCAGGCGAGGGTGAGCTCACAGGCGGCATATCGAAATGGGATCCGGCCCAAATGGGGCTCATGAGCCCATGGATCGGGTAACTGTGATGCCTCATAGCTATCCATGTATAGCCGCTATTATAGCCATTAGAACCCCAAGTGTATTTGAATTGATTTGCATTTTGAACGCTTCGATGGCACTTGACATTTTGCCACTAGTGGCCCCTATGCGACCCAATGCAGCATCTCATTTGTTTAATGGTCAAATCCATATTTATATTGGTGTGAAACCTCATGTTTGCTGGTTGAAATCCGCCATCCCCCCATTCAAATGATCCCATGTCTTGACGCTTCCCCATAACTCCCACTAGAATTGCCACCTTCCCCTTGGGGAAATCCGCATCCATCCATTGACCCTGTGATTTCCACCTAGAAAATCAGGGCTATTCGGGCTGTGGATCCCCTATGATTTCCACCTCGAGGACCCAAATATCCCATGGGCGTCTACCTGGATGAACTGCGAGTGGTGGAGATCTTCGAAGGTTCCCCTGCAGAGAAGGCCGGTTGGATCCTGCTGGTTGGGGTGGAAAAACTTGGGAAATGGGGGTTTGGGTAGGTGATACTAGTCAACTATGGGTTGGTTTTTGGGATTGGCAGGTAGGTGAGATAAATGTTGATTAAAGTATAGTTTGTCAGTTATCATGCCTATTTTGTAGTGCTGTAACTTATTTTTCGGCCCATCACATGAGTGGTTTAGGACTTTAATCATCATGAAAACGTGTAAAGAGGCGAGCAGACTCACCAGCCAAACAAGTCAATGGCGGAATTGTTTGGGGACTCTTAAAGATGGGAAACCCAATTTTTCATTGATGCTTGCGATATCACTTCCATAAAGAAGCACAAAGAGAGAGAGAGAGAGAGCGAGGGAGAGAGAGAGAGAGAGAGCGAATTAGTATGGGAAAAACTGGAGGATTCAAAGCCACTATTTTAATGATCCGTTTCAGCAGGAGAAATCGTCCTGGGTTTGTTTTCTGCCATGTGCTCGCAGGCTGGGGTTCTGCCAGCTGACATTATCCAGAAGGTTGATAGTGTAGAGATCACAACCCAAGAGGACCAGAATGCAAGGGGAACATATGGCCGTTGATAGAAAGGGGTACCCTTTGGACATTTTGGAAATCTAACATGCCATTGGAACTTGGCATGTTTGATAGGTAAATAATATCAAATAATCTTTTTTTGGGGGGGGCGGCGGTGTTAAATTGCCCAGAGGGTGCGTTGTATTTTCACAAAAATGCGTGGGACAGAACCGTTTTTCACGGATGCTTCCCTTTTTTTTGCCGTGTTTGGATTTGGTTCGCTGCCATATCATCACGCGCTGGACAATCCAACTCAATTCTTCGCACACATTGTAGCGGCCAGAACCTCTGCCTTCCTTCCAACTTCGAGGGAAGCTTCGCACAAAAACAATGCGACCCCAGAATGAAGCACAACTTGAGAGGTTCCCGCAAAGAACCAAACATACAATCATAGAACCTCTTGTTTATCCCTACTAATTAATTATTGACTTTGGGGGTTGTTCCTTTCCATCCATAGGTAAATTGAGAGTCACGCTGGGGCTAAATGGTTCATTTACTTCCTGATTTATATAATCAATTTGCCTCCAAATGTAGCTGGGGTATCCTGGGGTGGCCAGGGAGTAGTCTTTATGGATCACTTCTCTCCCTGAAAACTTCCCAGGAGCTTCGCAAAGAGTTGGACGTCCCAGGATGTAAGCGCCTCACGGTCGAGCGGGATGGACAGGAGGCAGCGAAAGTGGAGCCACTCTGACAGAGTGACTGAGTGGCTGCTTCGATTTGTCGTACCATGCTGCTCATCCACTCGCTCTCTCTCTCTCTCTTTCCCTCTATACATGTATATATATATATATATATATATAGCAAGTACATGCGCGGCATGCATAGATAGCAGTTGACGGTCGTAAATACAGACTCTTCAGCTTTCCATCCCTAGCTGGGGGTGGTCGGGGACGGGTACATTTACTGTTGTTTTTGCGGGAGGTGTTGAGGCCGCCATCCAGTATGTGATATATATACCTTGGTTGCACTCTTGCAATGTAAGCAGTGGCAAGGCAATGGAAACATATCTCACTTTGAGGGGGGGGTCCTGGACACGAAACAGTCCAATAGTGTAGGGCATGTTCGATTGCCATGTGTATTTGCCAGCGGGTACCAGTAATTGCACACGTTGCCAGCTTACGTACAAAGTTAAAAAGTTGAATGATCATCGAAGTCACACTCTTGACACACTTCAAGCAACATGAATCCCACCAACGAATTATCGAAATTTAAGGTACATACTTGTCAAAACCTGCACTGACATGCCTTGCCAACAGAACACAGCGGCATTGCCATAGGTGGAAATCTCGATCTGCCTGGGAGACACTGAAGTGGAAGCGCAGAACCCAAATGATCAAAATGGCTGTGCCCTGTTCATCCCTTGTGGTGGATCGTTTTGAAATGGGGCATCAACCCCAAAAATGGTCAATCAGCAAGAACTTGGGGATACATACGACAAATGATGGGGTTGATATATGCGACAAATGATATGGTTGGTTGATGTTGGTTGCTGGTTGAAGTTGATAAGTTGGGAATGTATGAGCTGGCTATACGAACTTGGATCCAACATTCGAGCCGCACCCTCAACTTATCGAGTTTACCGCAGTTTTTTTTGGCTCTCATGGCAGTCATTAGCGGCAGCTGACTCCACATGTTTCCAAACTTGGTTGCTCCCTTTTGCCTACAGTAAAAGGCCGTGGAGAAGAGCACCAACACGAGAAAGTCACCAAAGGGTACCAGCCTACAGGCCACAGTGTCACAGTGACAGCCCAGCCCCTTGAGCTCTAGGGATGCCATGATGACCAAAGGTTGGCATGGAGGTGGGGGTGGCACTGGGTATTGCTGATGTTGTCGGGTGGATATCCCAGCTATCCCCCCCATCTGTGGGCGATGTCTGTTGCTTGGTGATTTTCCCCTTTTTCTCTGGAACCCCCTGAGCTCGAAAGGTCGTGGCCGTCATTGTTTGGTGGCAGTTCTTGCCCTGGGATCCGCACAGAGCCGAACTCAGTGCATCTACGGTGATGATCAAGCGTGGATGGTGTAGCACACAAACCGCAAGCAACTTTGTTGATCATGGCTCCCTCATGCTCCCTCCATTAAATCTATGAGTTGCCCTTATGCCATGGGAACCAAGCGCGGGCTGCTTTCCGAAAGACCTCCCAATGGCTGCCTGAGGTTTGTTTTAACATTCGTGAGCCAGGCGCGGTCCTGATGGGATGTCAAGAAATGGATCAAATAGCTGGCAGCTACGGATGTTGCAGACACCAAAATCAGATATTCAAACGTCAAGCAGAAAGATTACCATATTTTGTCCCGAAAAATCAAGAAAATCTCCAACAATTTCTCCAATGGAGCCATCACTGGCACAGGTGAAACCTCCTTCCACTCGAAGGAGCCAGACTCTTTTGGCGGCAACAACGCCTGATCTTGGAGCCTTGAGCCGACACATTTGGATATGTTAAGCATGCATTATCAGTGATCAATTCATGTGTAACTAACTGTGTAACCATTTAGCCGTCTATTTAATTATTTGTTTGGGGGTGAAAATGACTCTGAGTCAGTCCCATACTATTTCCACACTATATTTTGACTTGACCAGGAGGGGTGCTCCCTGTTGTGAAGAGCGAATCTTAAAGGATGGTCGATGTCCATAGTCAATTGGCAATTTTACTACATCTGAATACATTTGCTTGCTAGTTTACATTGACTGATGTTTTTGGGATGTTGAAACCTAGACTTATAATAACAAACCAAGTGTTGCTGGCAAGGGAGCAAAATCAAGAGTCAGTCAATCAGATTTGGCAGAAATGCCTTGTTTGACCTTATGCTGTATGCTTGTGTGGTGAGCAACTCCTTAGACCAAAACTGATTCGTACCGGATTCTTTTGAAACCCATTGAAATCCAACAAAAGCTCCCTGACAAGAATCAAATTGTCACACCCTTTCTTCGGATATCCAAATTCATTTCATGCCCATGTCATTCCATTTCAACTAAAAAAAACATTTTCTAGTCTATATCATATCCCATAGGATCCATGTATGCTATATATGGTAACATTTACCATCAATATACCCCCAATGTTAGTATAGATATACCATACATGGATCCTATGGGTATGATCTTTCCTCCATTTTCCGAAGTCTACAGACGCAGCCCCTCATAAAATTCCCACTGGCCCGTCCATTTCCGGCGCCCCAGGATCCACCTACATCCAGCCGACCGATGTGGAGCCCGCCACGGCCTGGGCTCGGATTGAGGAAGTGAAACAAAGGCTGCGAAGTGTCCTGGCAGGTTTTGGACTGTTGGAAGGGACCGGAAAACGTGGGGTATTCATGGGTTTTCTATATATGGGGGGTTTCCATAAATGGTGGTACCCCAAAACATCGATGGTTTAGAATATGGGACATCCTTCTGTAAATGGATGAATTTGGGGGTACCCCCATTTATGGAAACCTCTATATATATTAATATATCTTATATCTCTGTATGAGTAACTCTGAGTAACCGACCAGTCATTGGCGGAAGACTAGTTAGTCTTTTTGGGCAGTGGACCTGGCATCTTCAAATTTGTGTGAAAGCCACACCACAACCGATAGGGGGCCACCCGCCAAAAGGCCATGTCCATTGCGAGTAGCAAGTAATTTTGTGCGCGACTTATATTATGCTAAAAGTGTATGTACAATTACGCGCACAAACCTGATATACACAGTATATTGTCTCATATTATCATATGATATCATATTATATTTCTGTGTTGGTTTATATTATATATTAAATTATCTTACGATAGATGATATTAAATTTTATTATGTCATATAATTATACAGTATCATATAGTGTAACAAATATTGTAGAGGATTGCAGCATTTTTAATGTTATATTATCTTGAACCCATAGGATCCATGTATGCCATATATGGTAACATTAACCATCAATATACCCCAAATGTTAGCATATATACCATACATGGATCCTATGGGGAATTGTGTGATAATTATTATATCTTATTATATATTCTGTGAAAGTAAGCGTCCAATTTGTCCATCCCAAGTTGAAAAAAACTCACGGAGAGTTTGGGGAACGAGGATCAATTAGGCTAGGACATTTATCTCATGACTCTGCTTTTGATGGTAACCTTTCAAACAGCAGGGAAGATCCAAAACTGAGGGATTTCGACAAAGCTTGGTCGATTAGGAATTTGATTCGAGGTTGTGACAGTTCATTGCCGTGCTAGCTTTGGCTTTGTTTTCTCTACAGCACATCCTACCCATATGCTCATAGGTGCCTGGGATTTCCACTTGGATTTCGGTCCTCCTGCTGCCGCCAACTGAGGCTATGCGGACTTGCCGCCACTTGGATTCACTTGGTAGCAGTTGTGGGGGAAAAACACGGGGGAAGGCAATGTAAGCCACATGACGACCTCAAATGATCAACTGCTGGCGTCTCGGTTGGTCATGAGGGGGAAATCCTGATCGCCTCCTCCAAACCACCAATCCCCCAAGGCACCCGGGAAAACTCACCTCAAGAAACATCAGACAAAAATCTTCCGAACCACGAGCTATTAACGAAACTGAAACTACTACCTGAGTTATGGTGAAACATCAAATGATCATAATCATCATAGAAGTGCTGTATCACAATTTCAAGTACAATTGGAAAGACTTGAAGGGTCGTTCAATATATCTTTGTGCATAGTGCCATTGTAGCACACCATTTGACGCGTGCAATTCTAGTTTCTCGCTACTGCCTACACGGCAGTCTTGACAGACGGCGACGGAGCGAGATTCAAGATATCTCAAGACATCAATTATCCAAGAATCCTCATGAAATGCTTCTTACCCTACGAGGATCTACGAGGTGCAGCCCCCTAGATAATAGCCCAGTTGGTTTACAACTCCAATAATTAATTATCTATGGTTTGTGGATGTTTGTGGTATATAGATAGATAGATAGATAGATAGATAGATAGATATATATATAGAGATATATCATACTATAGTTCACAAGGCTTTAACCAAAAAAAACTGGGGGCCCGGCCCCACCGTGTAAAACAAGGGACGACCGCCTTGAGGCGGGCCTGGGTTTGTAATCATTCAACATTTGCGTAGATCAGGAATGTGTACCCTCTGGTAAACTAACATAACTATGGAAAATCACCATTTCTAATGGGAAAATCCACTATAACTGGCCATTTTCAATAGCTATGTTAAATTACCAGAGGGTATAATATGCTGTGTATTTTACAGTGAAATCTGATTGTACGACATGCATTATTCACGTCATCGTCAACATGCCAACGATTTAAAATTTAAAATTTAAAATAAACTTTGTGTCGCACCAACTTTGGATGCTCAGATGTTTGATTTTTTTTTCTTCCGATCTTTTTTTATCACAAATCTGAACATCCGAAGTTGGTGCGACACAAAGTTTTTTTTTGAATCGTTGGCATGTTGATGATGAGCATGTCATACAAGCAGACTTCACTGTAGAATACAGGATATTATGATACACATTCCTGATCTGTCTTAAGGTCGTCAGGCACGTTAATACAATACCCCACCCCCACCCCCCCTACCCCAGGTAAACGTGAACGCCCACATACATCCGCAACACGTCAAATGATGCCAATGAAAGCACGCAGCAGTTCGGAGAACCTTTCAAGGCCCGCCTCGGGGCGGTGTACCCTAAAACATCTTAAGCCATTTTAAAACCACATTCTAAAACCAATGCAAAAAAAGATTCCAAAACTGAAAAAAACATCCAAAATTCACATCATCATCATCATCATCATCATCATCATCATCATCATCATCCATATTCCCATCCAGCAGTATCCAACTGTTTCCCGCTCAAAGGAAGTACCACCACCGCCCCGCCGTGGAGAACGCGGCGCTGGTCTGGTGGTTCCTCCGCGACCGGCGCCTGGACGTTTCGGAGGCCACCAAGAAGTTGGTGAAGTGCCTGCGATGGCGGCAGAAGTTCCGTGCCCAGCTGCCATGGCAGGACGTGGTTGTTTTAAGCACCACCTTTTTTGGTGCTAGAATTAGGGGGAAATATGTAACCATAACAATATAGTAATTATTATTATTATACCACTATAATATATATATAATGTTCCCCTTGTTTGTCCGTTTACAAAATGCCAGACATTTGGTTGGTGTTACAAAATGCACCCTCCAACCACCTTCTCATAAACGTCAAGAAGACAAATATTTGAAAACATATTTATTTTGGGTATATGTTCAGTTTTGGACGTGTTGGCATTTCATATAATCAAAATTGATTAAAGATATAGTTTATATGAATTGAATTTGAAGTGCGTCTGATTTGAACTGACTTGTTTGCATTTGAATTCAATTTGACTCCAACGTGGATTCAAATTGCCTTTGAACTGAAATTAAATGAAACTTGGCTCCAAGCACTTCATGTGAAACTGAACTGTATTTCAATCTGGTTTGAAGTTGAACTAGAAGTGACCTTTCTTTTGAATAGTGGTACGGGCATAGTTACATTATGTTACATTAATTACTGGTGGTGGGCATTATGTTAGTAATGGTTAATTAATATGGATATTTCCTGGAATGAATGAACAGTATGTTACTCTTTTAAGATTATCACAATATATGGGTAAAATAGTTATGCTAGCCACTCAATCAAAATTCTTAGTCAATAGTGAAGCGCAGGAACTGGTGGTTCATATGGTGGTTCATACTATCATATATTGGTGGTCAATGGTGGTTAATCTTATAAACGACTGGTGGAACTGGTCGAGTTTACTGGCGGTTTCCCCCATTTCGCATGGAACCCCAAAATGGCCATATGCAATAGGAAATGTTTTTTTTCTCAAATTTGGTGGTTGTTTTTTAAATCTAAGACGGGTAATCTCTGAGAATACAGTGGTTGAAATTCTACTAGTTAATAGTGATTCATGATCTAAGAGTACAGGTGAAGAAGCGTGGTGGAAACGGAGAGTTGAAAATAGATGAAAATGGTATGGAATATTTGGGTAATACCATGCGTAGCAGTGACTTTAGAACTCAGTGGTATCTATTTTTGAATCGTCTCATACAGCATCCATTATTACCATGATAACTTTAGCTTAGTGATTATCCCTAACTTGAGATATTTGATCTCCGTGGTTACCAATTATCTTCTCTGGAGAGATGATTCAAGATTTGACCACTGACCAATTTAGCAGATCATGGCAAGTAGTATATACTCATCTATAGCAGCTACATCCATCGTATTACTCATTGTCCAGTCGTCAAGTCATTACAGGAAAACATTAAATGTTTGACAGAGAATATGATGAGGTTGATGTCATTCGTATTTGTGTTTCTGTTTATAGTTGCCACGAATCCACGTTTCCGAGGTGTGGAATATCTTGGTCCGGACATGTTCCCCAAGGAGCTTCGAGCAGGGAAAGGCTACGTTCACCAGCATCCAGACATCGCAGGGCGTCCTGTGATGGTGGCCATTGCCCGTCGCCATAGCATCCTGGTGACGATTTTCTGGTTTTCCCATTGGTGAACCCACCCTGATTGGGGGAATCTACTGGGATCTACTGGGAATATGTTGTCATTTTGTCTTTACCCCAGGAGCAAATCCAAGGCATTTTTGACCGGGACTTGTTGGAAAGTTCGCGGATGTGTTGCTGGATGTTGGAAACCGCCCTGAAAAGGTTGGCCACGCTGGAACCCCCCTCACCTGGGGCTGCCGCATCCCCAGAAGGGATGCCAGAACAAGCGCTGGGTATTTTTGACCTCCGGGAGTTTTCACCCTTGCAAGCAGATCTGGAAGTGGCAGGTTTTTTGATTGAAGTGTTGTACAACTACTACCCTGCGCGCACTGGCAAGGTGCTTCTGGTGGGTGCCCCGGACCTTTTCAAGGCTTTTTGGGACAACATCAAACCGCTGCTGGGGAGGTATTCCAAATTGGCGGACTTTGTCACAGTAGACGAGCTTAGGGAAAATTATTTCAAGCCCGGCTTGGAGCCACCGGAGTTTCGCAAATTGGCGCGTGCTGCCATGCCATCCATGTCAACCATGCCATCCATGCCCAGCATGATGGGCGTGTTGACCTGCATGGCCTTCGCGGGTGGCAGCCTGGCGGCCTGGAAAACCTGGAAGCTTCGGCCACTGCACCGTGGCCGTTCGGCCCGAGCTGCATCTCTGGTTGGGGTTGGGAGCTCGCAGATTTCTGCGACGACCGTGGTGGATGTGCCCAGTGCTGAGGTGGCCATTGGCGAGTTGCAAAGGAGAATTCCGGGTCACTTAAAGTGGCGAGGAAGGCCAGCGGCAGAGAATCGTGGCTTGCTCTGGTGGTTTTTGAGGGATCGAAAGATGGATGTGGCAGAAGCAGCCAGCAAGCTGGTGAAGTGCCTCAGGTGGAGAGATGATTTCAGTGTTGAAAAACTGGGTCCTGAGCTTTTCATGAGAGAAATGCGTTCACGAAAAGCGTACCTCCACACGCACCCGGATATTGCTGGCCGCCCCGTCCTGGTGGTGGTGGCCAACCGCCACAATGTCTTGGAACGGCGCTTCAAAGAGAGCTGCTGTATGTGTGCATGGTACATGGAGCGTGTGATGGACAAGCTGAAGACATTGGAACCTGAAATGGAGCCAGAGATTGAGCAAGCCATCGCCATAGTGGATCTCAATGGTTTCTCCCCAATGCAAGCAGACTTGGAATTTGTATGTTTCGTGGTAGATGTGATCCATAACTACTATCCAAGGCGCTTTGCACGTGTTCTCATGGTAGATGCTCCTCAGATGTTTGAGTCGTTTTGGAGATCTGTTTGCCCCATGCTGCACCACTACCAGGACGGGTGGGCTGCTGGTTGGAGACGTCCATCTGGTCCTTGAAATGATGAAAACCCCACCTGAACCCGACCAGCGATCTTTTGTCCAGGGGCAGTTGACCCCAGTAAGCAGATTTCAATCACCACAAACTAGCATTTGTTGGTCTCAAGATGTTATCAAGTATGATGATAAACATACAAACAGTTTTAAACACGCAGAATCCCTGGATTTAGTATTGGATGTGTTCGTTTTGCTGTCCCATGCTGTCCCTCTAGATTACACACAGGATGGGATGATCAGACAATCATATCCATGGTTCATAATCCTTTTCCGTTCCAACACAAGTGAGTAAGCATTATACATGTATCATTATCATTACAATTGTACGTATATAAACACATAATGTATATATATATATATGTGTGGAGATTCGGGAATTTGAAAAAAACACTAATAATGTTAATAATGTATATGGTGGTCGATCTAAAGGTCCTTGTAAGGAGTTTTAATTGCGAAAGCCGTGCATGTTATGATGTTGCAAACCCTCGCGAAAGTTTTTTTTTCTCCGAAAGTTGGATATCATGATTGCCTAAGAAAGATATACATGGAGTTCGCGAAAGTTTCGCGAAAGTAACATGTTTATTCGCGAAGAATGGCCGTACCCGGATAAAGGAATTTTGATCAACAACCATATATGTAGAACTACCTATGTGTGTTTATTTATATTATACTGTATATGGATATTGATATTGATTTAATTCTATATCATGTACAGTATATCTAAACATATCCTGATAATTAGGAATCTCTTGTTGGTCCTCTTCTCATTTGATTGCTTTAATTGACAACAAATGAACCGGAACCTCCCTATTATTTCATAGGCATAAAACCATGGTTTCCGGTGAAGATTTTCCCTTAAACCATTAATCTTAAGATCTCCCATTTAAAATCCCATTAAGATCCGTTAAGCTTAAAATCAAATATCCGATTGCTTGATATTCCATACAAACATAAAATACTCCATTTATGTTCGATTACTGTTCCACTCATTCTCCATTGGTACTATACTATCACATCATATCCCATGAAGAATATTCCATATTAATCCATTAGTACTATGAAGAATATTGGCACATTATTCCATATTATCCTATATTATTCCATTAATGGAATATACCAATTACAATAATGGCATATACCAACATTCCATTAATATACCAATTATTGGTATACTATTCCATTAATCCATCTTGGTCCTGATATATAATCCAATAACTCCATTAAGAATAGTCCATTATTATTACCCCCTGTTAAATTAACATAGACCCTGAAAATCACCAATGTTTAATGGAAATGAATCTTCCAACCCCTATCTGCCAGGGTCTATGTTAATATACCAGATTAATGGATACCAATAATTCCAAAATGAATCTTCCATATTTAATCATCCAATAATAATTCCAATTCCAATATTAATCCACCAATCCACCCATCAAATAATGGAATATATTACCATAGACCAGGATAATGGTCTATGAATCCACTATTTGATATCCATTAATCCACTAATTCACTTTTTAATACCATTAATTACTGGATACCAAGATTAATATTTGGTGCACTATCCAATAATATCTAGTAATTAATACTAAGAATATCTCATTTTTTCATCCACCCATCTTGGTTGACAAGGACTTAGCGGAGTTCACCACCGCGTCGGAGGTCTGCCGCCGCTACTTCGCACCAGACCAGGCGCCCCCAGAGCTGACGCGCTCCTTCCGGCGATGATGCGCTGTTTTGACGGTTTTTTTGGCTACAAGAAATGGGAAAACATGGGAAAACCCATGGAAAACCCATGGGAAACCCATGGTGACATTGAAAAAATGATTGAAAATCGTGGGCGCCCAAGTTTGGGAAGCCCACTTTTTAAAGATGGCGATCATTTTGGATCGCTGTGAGTTTCGTGGTTTCTTTTGAGCCGATCCAGACAGCCAAGTGTTTCAGAGCTGAGAAGGAAAGGTGCAAAAAAGCATTTTAAGTCGGTTTTTGGTCAATGGAGATTTTAATCTTAAGTCCCAGCAGGAGATGTATGAGAGGTTTGCTGTTGGCCTGGCGCACTGCATATCTCACATGGTTTTTGGCAGTGCATTCCCAACTTTGCCCTTTGCGGATTTTCTTCAGCTTTGGCCCAGACGGCCTGGGGCCTGGAAAAAATGAAGTGCCACCAGATTGGCCACAAGAACCCACATTTTTTGTCGCACAGGTGATGAAACTGGCTCTGAGAAGACTGGTCTTTTTTGAGGTGGTAATTTACAAACCCCGGTTTGTAAGTTGCCCTAAGGCAGCAAGTTGGTGGGTTTGCTACGGGAAGGGATTTATTTAGTTGTTTTTCTCCCCGGTATTTGCTACCTCAGGACTACCTCAACAGAACTGATTCAGCAGCAAGACCCAGCCATGCGATTGACATGGAGTTACTATAGCTGCAGCCAGCCCACTAGATCCGACAGGCAGATTTGAACTCAACATGCTGGGGGATGGTTGCTGCAACCCAAAAGCTCAACTGAAAAACTTTATCATGCAGTGCCATGAGCGGATGATATTACAGTTGGTGAACAATTATCATTCCAATATTTATTCATTTTCGTTGCCAAATTTGAATCTTGGGTGATCTGCGCCGGATTTTCTGGAGGTATGTGTTGGGTCCTGGCATGCCTGGTCCTACCTTGGGCGGTGCAAGCGGCAACACCGGTTGACTCTGGGGTGGCCTGGAAGGAGTCAACCGCGAAGGGCTGTCATTGAGGGGCATCCCCCAGTCCAAGGGTTGATTATTCGATTGTGATCAGTGAGGTTGAGGGTTAAACGGTTAAACCCCCGAATTTTTAAAAACCTGCCTATATCACATGTCCACACATTTCTTGGCAGATAAATCCCCATGTTTGCTGGATCACCCCTGATCACGAAAGCTAGCGTCAGCTAGCTGGAGTCTTCTTGCTTTAGCAAGTATTCCGGCGGCTGCTCAAGGACATCACGTGGTTTTTCACGCGAAGGCCCCCCCCCCCAAACCCCCCCCCCCCAACCCACCACCATCACCATCATCAGCATCATCGTAATCATAGTCATCGTCATCGTCGTCATCGTCGTCATCGTCGTCATCGTCGTCATCATCATCATCATCATCATCCATGAGCATCATGAGCATCATGAGCATCATGAGCATCATGAGCATCATGAGCATCATGAGCATCATGAGCATCATGAGCATCATGAGCACCATGAGCAGAGCATCATGAGCATCATGAGCATCATGAGCATCATGAGCATCATGAGCATCATGAGCATCATGAGCATCATGAGCATCATGAGCATCATGAGCATCATGAGCATCATGAGCATCATGAGCATCATGAGCATCATGAGCATGAGCATCATGAGCATCATCATCATCATCATCATCATCATCATCATCATCATCATCATCATCATCATCATCATCATCATCATCATCATCATCATCATCATCATCATCATCATCATCATCATCATCATCATCATCATCATCATCATCATCATCATCATCATCATCATCATCATCATCATCATCATCATCATCATCATCATCCTTATCATCCTCCTCCTCATCATCATCCCGATCATCTGCCGCATCCGCTTCATCATCATCATCATCATCACCATCATCATCATCAACATCAATCATCACCATCATCACCATCATCATCATCATCATCATCATCATCATCATGAGCATCATCATCACCGCCACCGACATTTCCCTGCTGTCACTGAAGATACGTCTTCCCTTCCTTCTTTCTCCTACCCCGCGAGCTTTCGTCATCCACCCCCGGCCTCAAGTTTTTCCATGGATCAACCCCTGTTTGATGATTTTGCTGGGCAAATCAATCCAAAAACTCCATGTTTTCTGGATCCATCCCATTTATATCCCATTTTTGCTGGATCAATGGCTATGTGTTTGATGGCATCAACTTCCATTTTCAGGAGCTCCTGGCTACCTTAGCGGACTTCGAGGCTCCCGAGGGTGACCTGGGCTTCCGCGTTTGCTTCCTGGGGCACGAGCCGCACACGCTGGGCGGCCTGGAAATCATCGATGGAAACATCTGGAAAACTCCTCATGGGCATCCCATGCTGGTAAAAACGAACCGGTTTTGGGGACTTTCCCTAGCAATCCATTGATTCAATTGATAGAAAAAGATGACGGACACTTAAATTGTAGATATTGTACAGCCAAGTGCACCAAAGAATTTGGAGCGCAACCTGAAGTTTATATTTGATAGATGATAGTAGAAAAAGGATGACTATCTTGATTTCACAAGTGGAAAAAAGATGATAATATGGTGGAAAAGCATGGGAAAAGCTGCCACGTACCTTGGACATCATCACCACTCTGTGGAGGATGTTTGGATCTGACCATCCCAAGAGATGGCAACTGAGGTTGGAGTTAGCTTTACAGCATCCTGGCATCATTACTGCCTTTGAGTAGCGGGGGCCACTGCGGCCATTGCATCTTCAATCGGGTTAGAGTAAATTTTTCGAATGTTCTAGCACGTCTTCCTTTCATATCCATATATCATCAATTATCATCATATATCTATGTGAAGGGTCAGCATGGGGGGATGAATGATGAATAGTGATGGTAATTATTCCATCAATGATGATGAATGTCCATCCACCAGGTCCACCAGCTATTTTTCCGGCAGGTGATCCCCCAGCCATGGGTCTCCATGGGCACCGCGGCACCGTCCCAGGCTGTTGACGTTGCCAGAGCCGTATGTCTCGCAACTGCCGCGGCCTTTGAAAGTGGCCCTCCTGAGGGCCAGCGCAACGATCCTGGAGGACAGCGATCTGGGTTGGCTGTGAAGGTAGAGAGGTAAAACCAGGAGAAAACCATCCGGGAGTAAGATTTATGAAGTTATAATTATATAGTTGGGTTTCTTGTTGGGTTTCTTGTTCGGTATTTGGGAATATGTGGAATGATGTAGTATCATTTTCACCGAATAATTGGTCCCTGGGATGAAGTGGTGAACCCAACAATAAAGCATCCCCAAGTACTGGTAGGACTTACTATTGGCTATAAACCCATTTTTGGCATGATGTTTAAAACCTGTGGATCTTTGGCTACTGGAATGGTTTACTATTGGGCTTACCACTTTAAGTCCCAAAGGAGAAACTTGTTTGATGATTGTTGGTATGAATTAAGCACACCATTGCACTTTTAGAGTGGGTGGGGGCCAATCCTCTAAATCATGTTCCCTCCCTCCAGCAAGATCTTGTGCCACCGTGCCAAGCATCCCTGCATAGTTTGACATCTCACCAATAAATCAGCCAAGGTTTATCCAGAATTAGAGTTAACGGTAGACATCGCAGGACCCCCCTAATCTTGAGTGGTAAATGCTGTTAAATAAGTTAAATACATGGTTAAATCATGGTTGTATCACTTTGGTGCATCATTTTTTCAGCTAGCTCCCAAGATCACTGCTTAGGAGACCCGTGAAGCCATTGCGGAGCATGGCGACGAGAGACTGCAAGTGTTGGTGCCGGAGGATGGGAGGGGCGTAGTTGATCACCAAAATACATGTGCCTATGAAATCCAGTCCTACCTATTCTATTCTACCTCATTCAGCGGAACTCATTGTAGGCTTCTAAGCACTGTGCAGTTGCGTTTTGCCTGAGGTCAGGCATATCCAGGCATGATATGTTTGTTGCCTGTGATTTGACTTGTGTACAAGAACGTTTGCAGTTGCTACCTACTCATCGAACCAATGAAAACACTAGCACGAAATAAAATCAAACATCATATCCAATTTGCGTAGTGAATCTAACACAATCCAATCTCATTCCTGATGAAGTCTTGCCAGATATGGGGAGAGAAACCCAGAAAAAACAAGTCCGCATCCGGAAGAGATGATGAGATGATTGCTAGGGATGTAGTGAGCAGGTCAGGACCTTGCTGGCCAATACACAAGGAATTGACACCGCAAAATTGGAGTCGTTACCCATGATGTGGGAGTGGCCTCAATACATAAAGAGACCAACTTCGCTGTTCTATGTATGGATGTGGGTTCCGTATTGGTGAATACGAACCACTCCCCTTCCCGCGTAGCCCACAGGTATTCTACTATATACATGTTCACACAGTTTTTGCGGGGTTTATGTAGGATTTCTTTAGGGTTGATTTAGGGGTTCTTTAGGGTTTATGTGGGGTTAATTTAGTTGTTTTTTTCTCCTAGGGTCTTTCCAGTTTTTTTTCCTGTTTATTAAGTTAAAAAGTGACGAAAACCAAACCAATCTTGAGAGACAGCCGAATCCCCGCAGATGGTCATCAATGACGTCTCTGGGTTCGCAAACCCAGAGCCATCAAGTTATAACATCGCAACATAGTGGAAGGCCATGGAAGGCCACAAAGTACTGTAAGGGTTCCGACAATCATCCCAAAAAGTGTTTGGGGCATAGCACAAGCGCTGGCCGTAAAAGTTGTGGATGAACATCCATTAACATCCCCATGGAGTTTCTTCTGTTCGTTTTTGGGATGTTGGCCAGAGTGTCAGGGTTACTGTGTGTCACACACAGATCTTGGGTCGTACAAAACGTTCTGATGCTGGGGTTTTGAGCAACTGAGATGTCACTGTTTGTTGACTGTTCAAGCATGTTGCCCACAGGAAACAGTCAAACAGTTGTCCAAACGTTTCATTTATGTTCATTGATGCATTTGTACGTCCAGCCATTCGTTCTTCCACAAGTTTTTGTTTCCCGCCTTTTTCCAACCTCTGGGCTTCGTGACGCTTTCCCACCTCTTGTGTTACAAGTAGGTAGGATACCCCAAAGTTGTAGTGCTTTCCACCGTAATAAATGGCGTATGTTTTTTCAAACTTGGGTAATTTTAGGGTCACGGTTTTTTGAACCCCCCCCACTATTGTTGGTATAATATCCCATTATGATATCATCCCATTATGATATGATATTCTTTTTGATATAGTGGCAATTGTTGGCATTATGTGTAACTAGCCCCTAATATATATATAATTATATATATATATGTTAAAGGGAACGAGGTAGTTATGCATGTGTAACATGTATTATCTACAATCTGACAATTACCGCCATACATTGGCTCAAGCGTATGGAGAAAAGGCTGCATCGCGTGACTCTGCATGGAAATCATCGGCTACCGGTAACAAGGGTACTACCTGATCGAGATAACATCCAGAACAAGGATCAAATTGTTCACAGGTTATCAGCCGTAAGGGCTCACTTCTTCCGTCGGAAGAGGAGTACCTGCGTGCTGGTAGCCGGACCGTCTGAGCTCAAGATTGTGGACGCAAAGGACCAATCAGCTCATCATCGCAAAGATGCAGGGCGGCAGCGGAGGCTCGCGCAACACGCAGTTTACCTTCAATGAGAACACTGCTATGCCGGTCGAGGAGGTCACTCAATCCTCCCCTGGCGACACGGCAGACAGTGGTGGGATACGCTCTACCCGAACTACACAGTCCGGATGGCAAGTTACATCAAACAGACGAAGAATATCCACCCAAAGTACACCAAGATCTTCTCGAAACAGTGCTCGAAGTGATGTTGTCCGTCAAGGGCATCGACCATCTCGAGGACGAACTACCCCAAGGGACAGATCCACCAGGGCCGTAACCGACCGAATTGGTGAGAGGACCGGGGATACTCGCGTTAAGAGGAGATCAACGGATACTTCTGTGGCTAGTGAACCTATGGTAATTGATAGAAGAGCTACGGGCACAATGTCAATCCTTACGTAATCAGTTGAACAACATGGAAGCATATGCTGCATCGAGAGATCAACTGATTCATGACATCGAGATCAGATTCACTGAATATCTTCAGGAACACAACCAGAATGTGTTTGGTGAGGTCAATGCACTCAATCATAGATTGTCATGTTCCGCGAATGAGGTTGCAGAGTATCAGGCAGAACTAATGGTAGCATCTCAGGAAGATGAAGGTGCAACAATACGCATCCAAGACCTTGAACGCCGAGGTGCCCTGATGGAACATGGTGCAAGACGGATCCATCAACGCGGTATGGAGATCCAGGAAGAGTACAAGGATGAAGTACATCACCTTCAAGGACTATTGGATAATACGGAGGCAAGACTACAACAACTTCATCAGACCAATGTCTTAACTACCGATATTGCCAACCGATTGTACACTGAAGGTCAAGAAATGCAGACAATTTCCAGAACTCAATTATGGAATATCGTAATCGATCCGAAATGGCATCCTTCTCAAGCAATCAACTTGAAATGATTAGCCAACAACAATCAATTGCAGTTCATGAATTGTCTGAACGGAATCAGCTATTGAGTGAAGCTCTAGTCTAGTTCAGTCTCGTAAGCAGGCCGAGTTGTATGAGAGCAGTATTGAAGAGATCACTAGAGAATCTAGGAAGAAGGTTTTCGAGGCAAATCAGGCCAAATTGGAAAGTGATCTGAAGCACCGAAACACTGAACATGATACTGTCAGAAGAATTGCATCATACAGGAACCATGAGGCCGAAGCGATATCACACCTGAGGCTTGAATCACAAGCGAGTGCAAATTCGATCGCGAGGGCAGAGCACTATGAAGAGCTCTACGCCAACGAGCAGGAGATGAACTGTGAGTTGAAGGATGAGATCAAAAGGCAGAACGTGAAGTTGCGAAGATCATTAACTCAGGGCACTACGACCGACGGTCGTGGCCCTGATGAGATGCTTGTTGAAGAACTACGGAACCAAGCCAAAATTGCTCAAATCAGGGTTCAGGATCTAGACCATGAAGTTCATGAATGTTTACAGGAGAACATGTTGTTAAAAGAAAGATTGACTGAAGTTGCGGATGTAGGGGCGTCGTCCTTCTCCAATGCTGAAGTCCGAACTTTAAGATCTGAACTAGAAAGTGAGCGTAAAATGAAATTGGCTAGTGGTGTTCAGCAATATGAGAGATCATGCATGTTCATGGGGGAAATTCAGGATAGGGATGAAAAGATTGGTATCAAGAATTCTGAGATTATTGACATGAAACGTCACCTAGACGAACTGAGAAAGAGTCTCAAGGATTCTGAAACATCTATGTCTAGGGTCAGCCCTGATACACTTCCCTATTCAGCAGGCATCCCCAACTATGATCTCGCATCAAGACTGGTCATCGACAAACTGGAGAATGAGGTGAGTGAGGCTAACTCTGAGAACGCTATCCTAAAATCTTGGGTATCGCAGATCGACAAGGAGTTGACCTACGAGACAAATGCTGCTCAATCCTATCGCGGACATGCTGGACCTTCTCAACAGCAACCTTCTCAATCGAACAAAAGAATCACCGATCTGCTGAAGGAAGTTGACAACAAGATCGCCGATGGAACTGAGAAGGACTATTACAAGCCTCCGAGCGGATGGGGCGGTCCGCCTGACCCTGATGGGCCTCCTGACCCTTTCGTGCCCAACGGTCCAGGACCACCTCCAGAACCTCCTGGTTTGCCTTCGGTTCGAGGATCGCAACGTGATTCAGCAGATGATATCTCCACAGCGGCGTGCACGGCAGAAGAAGTACCGAGAATGTCAAGGCGGGAGGCTGACAAAGTCTACGTTAGCCCATGGCCGAAGCAACAGAACCTTGGGGTTTGGCAATCAGATCTCATCAAGGGTGTTGTTCTTGCCGCGAATGATGGAGACAAAGCTGCGTGGGAAGCGTGGCTACAGCCGGCTATAAGACCAAATCCTGACATCGAGCTATTGAATGATAGCGGTGGGCAACGATATCAGTCAATCGACGCCAAGTTGTCAATTGCATTGTCGAACGTTATAGCCCAAGCCGGTGATGTTGCTCGTCATGTAGCAATTAAACTAAGATTGAGAACACAGAGTCATAGTCGGAGAGGAACCTATGTTATGGGACGAGAAATTTTGGCTATGATTCTGGAACACTTCAGGACCCCAGGTCAACGAGAGACAGCCTTCACCATGGAGCACATCGTATCGATGAAGTATCTCGGTGACTCCAACCTGGAAGTGTTCTACGAGAAGTGGATGGAGATGGTGTCAAACATGATGCCGGATGATGTACCTCCTGATGATTGGCTTCGTGACGCTTTGTACAAGAAGATTCGAAATTCGAGTCTCATGATGTTTGACATCAAGCAGTACGAGTCATGGATTGAAGGAGATCAAAGACGAAGCTATCGCTATCTGTTGGACGTCATCGAAAGGCACATCTCCAGAATCAGAGAGGACAAGCATGTGGCCGCTAGAGAGAAGTACGCAAGAGACTTTGCAGGTGGCGGCAAACCCACTGCTCCTGCACCAAATCCAACTGCTGCTGCACCAGATGCCAATCCGAAGGCGAAGCCTAAAGCCACTCCCAAGGAGAAGGCAGCACCTAAGGCGAAGGCCAAGGCTGAGGCAGCTCCAGTTCTACCATCACCTCAACCAAAACAGCATGCAAAAGGAAAAGGAAAAGGTCAAGGGAAAGGAAACGGGCGACCAAACAGCCGAAGTGCTAGTCCTAGATCCAAGAAGAAGATCCCATGCCACTTCCA